CATTTAGGTTTTAGACATTTTATCGTATTGAAGACAGCGAGTGATAAACATAATGTAAAAACATTCAAAGTTCGATCGTGTGATAATAAGGATTAAGGGCCGTCTAGTAAGATGATCCGAAGTGAAAGATAATGCTTTACACAAATCCTTGAAAAATAGAAACTATCTCACTTTCAGTTTTCAATAGGTATATCATAGGCTGCAATAGGTATACAACCAGTACCTATAGTGCATATACACCTTCATCACAATTTTCAACAAAATAAATCTTTATTTAATTTTTATCTTTAATAAATCTAAATAAATCCTTAGAAACATCGGGTGTCTTCTTTCATAAATCAGAATCAATTTTCATATGCAACAAAAAACAAAATACAACATAATTATTGAATTCAAATTTAACACTTCTATTACAGATAACCTGTATTGATTACTTTAATTACAAACACTCGAAAACCATTACCTACTATACAGCTGAATGAGTTTCCCATTCTTTTCGTAACTAAACTGAATTATTATTAATCGCCGACGTATATAATGTTGATTGAATTCAATTTGTTATTTAAATAAAAAAATACTTTTGTGAAGGCCCAGGTATTTCAATAATTTGTGGTCCACATATAAAATTGATTTTATTTAAGTTCATAATTGTTTTAACATTGGTATATTAATTTTAACAAGGTATCTACAAACAAAGTTATATGATAGTAATTACAGGTTAAAATTGTATTAAAAAATAAAGTAAAAAATGTTATTTTTTAATTTGAATAGCATCAACCAATTTATTGATGTTATTGATGGGTTTGATTATTTCGATGATGACTACACCTCACTATAAAATTAATCCAGTAATACTAAAGCATATTTTATTTTTTAAGTTTTACGTTAAACTAACCTTCTGGTAAGAAATACCAGTTTTTATCAAACAAGCGATAAATAAATAAATTTGTCCATACGTTTTAAACCGCAGTTCCCAGTCCATGTTACCTTAGTTCGTGGCTTTTATACATAATGTCTATTTGTATACCTATAAATTATAAATTTTATAATATTGGTTCACATAAAATTGCTTTGAGGGCCACACATTAGATTCTAATCAATTGAATGGGGATAACAAAATTTTGGACTTTTATTAGAAAGATCGAACGACCTTCTTGCTAATCGTATTGCTGACACTCATAAGAATGTTTGGAACAATGCATAATATCAGAACGGTGACGTAACGGTATATTTTAATATTAGAAACTATATATAGTGCGTGGGTGGTTAAATGAATTCGCTGAATTGGATGAAGGTCGAGTCGGTTTGATGCTTGGGTTCCAAGGCTGCTTCGGCCATTACTACATGTCATTGGACTTTTTTATGGGGTGAAATGGACTACGGAATAACGATGCTAATGATGTGGATACTTTTGAAGTACCTATAATAATGAAGACTACATTTTCAAATTTGTGTTAAAATTCAGCAAGCGCTTTTAATAAGCCAACAATGTAGATATTCAAACTCGGGTAGAATTAAATAATTATAGGGAAATTAAAATTATATAGGTATAGGTCCCTATAATATTAATTTTTAAAATCGTTAATTTTATTAAATATTATCAATGTGGGTTTACATGACAGACCCATCTCCTTACACTATTTATACAATAATTCTATAATATAATAAAATATACTTATTGTAGTAAGCATTTCTAAGTATAAAGTAAATGTTTGTTTTACAATTTAGACAAAATATAGTTGTTAAATTAATTTAAATTTTAAACTTATATGATTTGACCCAACTTCTCCATGACATAATAAGGTATTATTTTATTTTTTATTTCATGTATCTATACAGAATATGTATTCATCCATTAAACTTGGCCGGTCTCAATTTACACGATTCACATTAACCATACGACAGTAAAAAAATCGTATTACCATATAGAATATCAACACTAGTATGGTAGCAGTGTAGCGCATAAATAACACTCGTTGACAATTGAAAGAGATGACCCATATATCGGTTATAATATATATACTACATAGTGCATGTATAAAGCCGTATAATAAATTATGTACAGGCGATTAGGTGTGTTTGTATTGGCATGTGACAATGTATAGGTTGGTACTTGGTACTGCAGTATCAGTAGCTGGTAACTATAATATGTAACTAAAAAAAAAAAAATCAAAAGTTCAATAAAATATTTTTATTGTTTACAGTTAAAAGTTGTATTAGTTTGAATATATTCAGCATATAATAGTGGACATATTATATTATTCAGCCTTCGGGTTGGTGATTAATGAGTAGAGGTCTCTGTTTCGGGTAGGCCATTTTGTATACTGTTATAAGTGCCCGGAAAAAATCCTGCTACCAAAATCACGTCCGGATAAAATCCCGTCCATATAAATCCTGCCAAAAAATAAATAAATACGCGTTTGAACTGCATTAAACGGGTGTGTTAAAAAGTTGTTTAGTGCATTTGTTTATTTCAAATTTGAATTATTGTATTTTATTTACGTTGTATTATAATTTATAAATTATAATTATATGTAGGTATATATTAAAATTTTTTACGTTATTAAAAAAAATACACGCATTTGTACGTAATTAATTATATTTCAATGGGTAATACGCAGTGGCGGCCGGGTCGTGAACCTTTCATTCACCAAGGTCACCAATCTGATTCAATGTTGAGGGCCTGAGTTATACATGGCATATTGCTCATAATTCGCAATTTCATATTTAAAATTTAAATTGAAAAAAAATTGTAATTGACATGTGACAGATTACAAGGACCATATTATATAGAACCATATGGAACTGTGATAAAATATAAATAAGTAAATATAAAATAGTAAAAATAACAAAAAGTACCTATACATTCAAAACAACTTTTTATCAAGCCCGTTTATTAATTTTTTTCAAACGCACATCGTTGAAATTCACTATTAGCCATTTTTAAGGCTGATGATAATAAAGTGTGAGGACGGGATTTTTTCTTAGATTCATTTTTATGTGTTCAGTGTCTTTATGGGACGGGTGTGGGATTGGGAAATACTTAATGGGATTGCGGAAAAGGAGTGAATTAGGCTTGGTCTAACACACGTGCAACATATACGAATTTGGACGTAGTATATTTTCATTCCAACAAACGGACTAATCCAGTTCTCAAAGTCGATCTGAAAAAAAGAGAAAAATTAAAATCTGTTTTCAAAATTATTATCATTTCACTAGATTAGTTCGTAGGTACTGTGGAATGAAAATATATCTAAATGCCTAAATGTTGCGCCTGTGCCCAAGCTGTTGTTGTATTACAACTTGTATATAGGCACGTAGATGATAACTACGTTTATATAATAATTTTAAATTTTAGCACATTAATTAATAACGTTTAATTTCTAATCAAACCAAAATCATTGTACCTAGGTACCTATATATGTTCTTATACGGTTACTTATCGAGGTAATTATATACCTAATTATATTATATATGCCTATGTAAGATACGTTTTATGAATGTTACTTTACTGTAGATATTTATATACTAAACTATTTCTTAGGAGTGTGGGAGGGGGTCCATGCCCTATGGAGTCTACCCCCTCCATTGGCCCCATAAATACCTATCTTAACATCATATATATATATTTATATATTTTGTAGTAGAGCCCCCCAATTAAATGTATTTGGAAAATTAGCTGGACCCCCTTCATGAAAAATTCCTTAATTCCCCACTGATCACACCGTATACTCATTTATAATGTACAATAATTATGTATTTATGTGTTGTGTACTATGTAAATATTACTGAAGCCCGGATTTATATATAAATTAATAATTGATAAAACTATACTTTTTTATTATTATTTATAATATTAATTCTGATTATAAATATTTATGTTTAAAAATAATATGTAGATCTTAATGTTAAAAATTATATGTAGATATTTTCTCATCGTTTAATAAAAATATGTTATTAATTTGATTTTTTTGCTCAGTACCCAACATACAATATTGTGCATTTTATAAACATTTAAAAAAATAGAGTAGTTTTTAAAAATACCAGACCGTGACAACCACTGACGATGCCGTTTTCAATATTATAAGATGAAAATAACCAAATATTGATACTCATTTCAAAGTTAAAATAATTGAATATATTGTAAAAGTCTATAATTACACAAACTAAATTGGAAGTTTCTTAAATATTTGAATCATATATAAAAACTACCTTATAAATAGTCAATAATTGAAAATGTATTAATTTTTTCTATAATAATATACAGATTCTTTAGATTCAGAAATCACATAACCAGATTTTTTTACAAAATATTTTTGAAATTTTGTTTGTATAATATACATAAATTTGCATATCTAGATTTTTTTGCACATTTTCCCGTATTTTGTATGGGAAATATTCCACATATTATGCACATATTTTTAATTTCTTTTTTTTTAATTTTAAAGTATACTGGTTCTAGATATTATATAATATCAAGACTTAATGAATCTATAATATAGAATAAAATTAAATAAAGGTACCCGTTTCCACCCAGAAGAGAAATGTTGGTTTAAAATAAAAGAGGATGAAAAATATAAAAAGTATCCTATCAGACAAGTAAATACTTCTATAATTGAAGCTGATTTGATTGAAGAGAACCAAAAAAACGAATAATCACACCATTAATCAAAATAAAACTACTATTGAATGATACTTTAGAAACATTTGGAATATACGACTCGGGTTCAAATGTTTCTATAATTAATTCAAAGTTAATTAAAATAAAAAAAAATATAAAAAATGTAAATAATAAAAATTTGCTAACGATTAATGGTGTGAAAAAAACAAAAGGCATAGTTAACATTAAAATTAAAATTTTTAATATTGAGAAACAAATTGAAGTATACATAATTGATGAAGAAAATTTTGAAAATGATTTTTTAATTGGATTGGATATAATTAAACAATTTAAATTGATACAGAATGAAGAATTGCAAATTACACAGAAAAAAACAGATATGCAAGAAAAAAAAGATAGTGTAGAAGAAATTTCTACAGAAATGAAAACAAACCTTAAGTTATCAGATAAAGATTATACAAATAAGGACACTACAAAACAATCAATAAACTTTAATGAACATGTAGATGAAAACAATTTTGAAATAAAAATAGACCATTTAGACCTACAAGAGAAAACTGAGATACTTCGGTTACTAGAGAAATATAAATCAATTTTTGCAAAGAATAAATATGACATTGGAACAGTAAAGGAATATGAGGCTCGCATCGACCTATTGTTGGACAAATATTGCTGTAAAAGGCCATATAGATGCACCATAGAAGATAAAAAAGAAATAGAAGATCAAGTATCAAAGTTGTTGGAAAAAAAATTGATAGAAGAATCATATAGTCCTTTTGCAGCACCGGTAACACTAGCCTTCAAAAAAGAAGAAAATAGAAGATCAAGACTCTGCATTGATTTTAGAGATTTAAATAAAATAGTAGTACCACAGGCCCAGCCTTTCCCATTAATTGAAGACTTGATGGTAAAAACAAGGAATTGCAATTATTTCACAACATTAGACATAAATTCAGCTTTCTGGTCGATTCCATTACGAATTGAAGATAGGAAAAAAAACAGGCTTTGTAACACAAGAAGGTCACTTCCAATGGACCTGCCTACCATTTGGCCTAAAGACTTCACCGGCAATTTTTCAAAGAATATTAAGCAACATCTTAAGAAAGTATAAACTTTCTAATTTTGCAGTGAACTATATAGATGATATTTTAATATTTTCTAAAACTTTCTCTGAACATATCAATTATTTAAATCAATTATTAAAAGCAATAATGAAAGAAGGTTTCAGATTGAAATTTACTAAATGTAAGTTTGCAACAAACTCAGTGAGGTATTTGGGCCATATCATTCAAAATAATACAATAAGACCGGTTAAGGACAATTTGATCTCTATTAGAAATTTTCCTACACCAAAAACAAAAAAAAATATTAGACAATTTTTGGGAAAGATTAACTTCTATAATGAATATATACCAAAGAGTGCCATCATTTTAGATCCACTACATAATCTATTAAGGAAAGATCAAAGCTTTATATGGTCAGACAAATGTCAAAACTCATTTAAAACAGTAAAAGACCTATTATGTTCTCAGCCAATTTTGGAAATATTTGATAGGGATTTAGCAATAAATATCTATACAGATGCATCTATACAAGGTGTTGGAGCGATTCTAAAACAGATACAAACAGATGGTAAAGAAAAACCAGTAGCTTATTTCTCAAAGAAACTAAATGAAAGCCAAAAAAGGAAAAAGGCAATATATTTGGAATGCTTAGCAATTAAAGAAGCGGTTAAATATTGGCAATATTGGCTAATTGGAAAATCATTTACTGTATACTCGGATCACAAACCCTTAGAAAATTTAAATATAAAATCTAGGACAGATGAAGAATTAGGAGATTTAAGTTATTATCTATCACAATATGATTTTATAATAAAATATGCACCAGGGAAGGAGAACCTAGAAGCGGACTGTCTGAGTAGAAACCCGGTATTGGAGGCAAACGAAAATGAGGAGGAACAGCTGAAAATTGTAAACTTAATAAAGGTTGAGGATATTATAACAGACCAAGAAAAAAATAAAGAAGTACAGCAACTAAAGAACAGGTTAGTATCAAACCACAATATATATTATAAAAGAAAAAAAATAATTTTATCAGAAAAATTTTGTATAGAATTTATTAAGAATGTGCACAAAAACATGTGTCATATAGGAATCAACCAAATGAAAAAAAAAATTAATCCATTTTATACATCAAAAAATCTAACAAAGAATATAAAAAGAGTATGTAAAAGTTGTACAGTGTGCATAAAAAATAAATCAAGAGGACAAGACAAAATAGGGTTAATGTCACACTTAGGTCCAGCTACAAAGCCGTTTGAAATAGTTTCCATTGACACAATTGGAGGGTTTGGAGGCTCACGTTCTACAAAAAAATATTTACATCTTCTAGTAGATCACTTCACACGATATGCGCACATTATAACATCAACGACCCAAAATGCAAATGATTTTATTAAACTAATAAAAAATATCACAGAGAAAAAAAATATAGGTATGATTCTTACAGATCAATACCCAGGAATAAATTCAAAAGAATTTAAACAATTCCTAGATGAAGAGGATATACCAATAATTTTCACTGCAGTAAATACACCATTCTCTAATGGTTTGAATGAACGATTGAACCAGACGCTTGTGAATAAAATCAGATGTGTAATAAATGAAAAGGAGAAAAAGATGGCTTGGACAACAATTGCACATGATTGTGTGAAAAAATATAATGAAACTGAACACTCAGTCACAGGATTTGCACCAGAATATTTATTGAATGGTACTGATGTCACAATGTTACCAATGGAGTTAAAACAAGAATACCCAAAACATAATTTGATACAAGACAGAGAAACAGCTTTAAAAAACACAGTAAAGTCACATAATTATAATAAGAAATTGTTTGATAAAAATAGAAAACACTATGAATTTAACATAGGAGATAAAGTGTTTGTGGAAAATGGCAATAAATTAAACAGAAAAAAACTAGACGAGTTAAAAATTGGACCATATGAAATCACAGAGAAGTTGTCAAATTTAATATACAGAGTAAACACTGATCAAAATAAAAAAAAAAAAAAATCAGGATCAAATATATATCACATCACAAAACTAATCCCAGCTCCAGCAGTTGAAGATGATGGTTATGAAGAGGAAGAGCCTAGGTACGATCCGGTAGATCGAGAAGACGTAGCGTTTGATGAAAATTTGTTTAAAAATTTTCTTCATCAGGTGGGGGAGATGTAAAGAAATATACTTCTTTATTATCACTATTCTCATTATTATCATTGTTATCATTATTATTAATTTTCTTATTATCATCACGGTCGATATCTACGACCGGGATTATCTGTATTTCTGTTATCAACCATATGTTGTTAACGTATTTGTTAATATTATTATTATTATTATGCACTTGTTGAATATGTTATAATATGATATAAGTTATTAATTATTATGTATAGTAGGTACTATTATATATTATTATAATTGTATTTAAAGTCAATTGCAAGAATAGGCTAAAGACTTTAAATTGTCGTTTATTTGTTTACAGGTATTTTGTATATAATAAAAATAATCATAATATAATATTCATGCATGTTAATAAAATAAATTTGTTTACAGATCAACACAATTTCGTCTATTTCTTATTGAATTAATAGCCTATTATATAGGTACATGTGTTTATTAAAATAATTAAAATACATTAGCTATGCAGAACTATACTCTTTTTCACGAGAGAAAGGTACCGGCGGCCGACCAAAACGGGTCCGCGGCCGCGCATCCCCCACCAACTATCAGTGGTAAGCGTGATCACGTGGTCGTTCACGCACCAATCGAATCATTTTACATGCGCGAAACGGTACCGTTCTCTCGTGAAAAAGAGTATATACACATTGTTTAAAAATGAAAATAATAACGCTAGGATTATTTTATTATACTTAATAACAACCCCGCATCTTACCTGTTATAAATTATAATAATTTTACATAGATTATATCACTTCATTGTTGACACATAGGTAACTTTTATTTAATTATAATTACAATCGTTATGCAAATCGTATGCATCTATTAACTATTTACATCGACATTTAATATGGTACCGTATACACAAAACATAATATAGAATATCTACCGAGACACTGCGTTCAAGTCACTCGTCGTGTCTTCGAGTACATTTTATAGGTAGTTATTAAAGCATTTTACGGTACCTATCTTATAATTATTATAATTTTGCCGTGACATAAAATTGGCTTGTTAGAGACGGTTGCGTTGTAGCAATGCTGCTTAGTATGGAATTATACAACAATTTAAGAATTTAAGAAATAATCCATACATACAAATGCGGACGCTCTTCGCAACTGTATTTAGGATGGGCTACAGCCTGAGGTACACGGATCACGGAGTTCGTATTATACCTGAGTATAGGTGTATAGGTACTGAATGTTGGATATTATATTGCTCACTCTGCTCACCTTGGCTTCAAGCCAGTGTATTATTATTTTTTTTTTAAACGTGAAAGCAACGGTTAGTGATAAATCACTAGCTATAGCAACTATAGTCTCGACAAACTATTTAAAACGTTTAAAGAATTTTACTTTATGTACCTACCTATAATTATAGGTATATTTTTTTTATTATTATTAGAACTTAAGTTTTAACCACATAGGTTATGAGCTTTTGATTTGCAAATCAAATCATCTTAAATATATTGTTATAAGTCATATACATTTAAGTAATTGTACTGTTTCGTCAGGGACATAATTTCAAATTGTTTTCAGGTGTACAAGGTTTCATCTGCAAGCTGGGCATTTTGAAATTAATTCACTAGGCCACATATAAATAGATATATTTATTACATTATTAACCTGCTTCTAAGGTTTTCCATAGATCATGGACTGCATCAACATACATGGTAAAATGTAATTTAAAAACTAAATAATAATAAATAATTGATTATACTTATAGGTGAGTTAGGTTAGGTTAGTATACTTAAACTGTGAAAATCCTTACCTACAATATATTGCATTAAAAAATTGAAGGAGACACATTTAATGCAGCAAAAAAAAGGACATAATATTTACTTTTATCAGTTGTTAATAAATATAAAATATTATAAAATATATTTTATATTCATAACTTTTGTAAGAGGAAATTACTCTAGGAGAAAAAACTATACTTTAAAAAAGCGGATACCTGCCGATTTATGAGTTAATTAAATACATATATATATACAGTTTAATCTAAATGTCATATTTTAGAACGTTAAGAATCATGAGATCGTTTGGTCTTTCATCGCCCGTGGGTCATGGTACACAATTGGTAGTGCGTAAATATGACTTAACATATTCGACGAGAGCAATGAAAAAAACCTTAGCTTAATTATTGGTGTGAAACATCTAATGCGGCGGGTGAGCCATGCGCGCGAAACATCTAAATGCGCCTTTAAAATAAAGAATACATTTTCTTAAAAAAATTTGAATATTTTGTTCTTGATTATACCATTTTTATTTTCTTTAATAAATTGTCCTTTCAATGTTCATATTCTATACAAAATAACTTCGATGTTTCACATCAGCCAGGCGTCCCATACGACAACTCACTTTTTTTTTAAATTTCCAGCACACTTTTTTTTAGGTAAATATTTTATTTGTTATTCTAAAATGACAACTTAAATTAAGTTGTATAATATTAATGGTGCATTATTTCAGCAGGCCAACCGGGACTATTTTAATAGTAAGTGGGTGCAACCGCATGACTGGGATTCGTTTGAGAAATTTAATATTGTTTTCTTAAGACCGAAAAATATGCTTTGTAGGTGATCAGATTCATTCTATACTTATAATAATTGTATATTTTGCATGTTTTTTATTATTATGCACATGCAAGGATCTTCTTTTACACATCAAATATTAACTTGGGTCAAGTTTCTTATATATCTGGTCTATATGTTTATGTGATTATGTCATATTTTTTAAATTATAAAATTCAACATTTTCGTAGTTATATAATATTATAATACTCAGCTATTATAAATAAATATAAATACGTACGACATTGTTTGTATATATTATATATCCTATTAATATTATAAATGCGAAAGTCTGTGTCTTTGTTACTCTTTCACGTAAAAACTACTGAATGGATTTTAATGAAACTTTACAATAATATAGCTTATATACATCTGAATAATACATAGGCTACAAATCATCCCCCTAGGTCCAACCAGGGGATGTGCTCAAACGGGGATTTAGAGATTTACAGCGGATATTTTTGTTTATAAATGCTTGCCATGGGTTTTAAAACTATTACAATAAAAATTATTGGTTGCTGTGAAATCAGTGTATTCATTCCATGCATTTAATTTTTTTGTACGCTGTGTTATGTATCACAATTGCTTAAATATTGAGCGTATTATACTCACAAATAAGTTACGTACATGGTACATAAAACAATCACGATGCCACGTATTCGTGGACGAGGAGGAGATATTGGTCGATAGACTCGGCATTCACAATATTAGTCCAACCGTTTAGGAGGAGTTCAGTAACATACTTAGTAGAACTTTGCTACTTTAGAGTTAAATTATAAAGTTACTTACAAACATCACGGGGTCCGCGATCTACAGCAGGTAGATTGCCTACCTGATAATATATTTACTGCTGCGAATCAGAATTTTCATTCCGGTCAACGGAAAAGTTAAGATAAATTTTGAACACCATACACCGAATATTATATAACGAATTGAACAAAGTTTGAGTCATATAGAGTTGGTATATTTAACAGGCATCAAAGTGCACATGATCAGCTAATATATATAGTACATAAAGCTACAGAAAATATGTTATACTATAAAAAAAATAAAAGTAATATCAAATTGAATATAAAATTTTGAATTGAATACTGAGAGCCTGCATGAACTACTCATGAGTGTGAGCATTCGTCCTGCTTCAATAAAGTGGTAGGTATATTATTAATATATAGTTATACAGATAAAATTTTCATTAAATTTATCATGATAAAATTCAAAACTCGTTTTGGCACGGAGCACTTACTGAAATGTTTTCAACATTTTTCGAAGTTTTTTTTTTTTCTAGATTTTAACGCATATGTTTATTAATGAGAAAATGTATGAGTATGACGTAAACTTATGACAATTTAAAGTAGCATCTAGAATCTAGATAAAATATTTAATCTATATATGGATGATGGAACCATAGAATTATTCTATGATGGAACCTTTGGAGTATTGTTGATTAACAAAAAAAGGTGAGGTTAGCCACTCTATATTTTCCACTCCAAGGAAAATTTATGAATCATATATTATATGGTTTTGTTAATAATAGTAACCATGACAACGAAAATCTTATGAAAAATTGGTGAAAACTCGAAATATGTGTACCCAGCCCAAACACATATACATATGTTAAAAATATTAACACAGATAAATTATAAAGGTAAGGTATCAATAATATACCAACTCAAGATTATAACGCATTAGAATTAATATATTTTAACTTAATTTTAAAAACCGTTATCTTGTGAAACTTAATTGGATCCAAACATCGATAACTACCATATAACTACAATAAATTGCTAAAATAAAAATTAACTTTTACTGTTTCTATGTTATTATAAAAATTTTACTATTATTACAAATTAAATCATTTTTTTTTATCGATTTTCCACATAACCTGATCGCAAACTATACATCAAAAAAATTAGATTGAGTTAAGTCAATAATAATTATTATGTAAATTGTTAATTGTTAATACAAAAATCAAATTGAAAGTTCAATTTTTTCGAACACAAGTATTATCGTAATCATAAAACACATTTAGTTTGGTTTGTGATAAAATTTCATTATTAGGTATAATACCCATTACCCATACTCACGTAATTCGAATTTCGTTTGCAGATATTATGTAGCCAGTTGTAACTGTGGAATTCGATAGACGGTTAAATTATTATTTCACGAAAAAAAAACTCAGTACGATCATTGAAATTATAAAATTTGTATTATTTTACGTTTGCGGTTTTGACGTGACAATTCTATATAATAACATTATACATATACCTACACCCATAATAGGAATGTAATTTATATCGATCGAGTCACTCGGGAGTAACGAGGAATTCATTATACATTATATTATTATTATAGAATTTCAAACCTGAAAAAAAAACGTACATATACAGAATATAATGTGGTAATAATACATGTTTATCCTGTGCAATGAGATGAGACCATATATTATAATATAAACATATATAATATATATATATATATATATATATATATATATACTAATATTTAACACCGACTGTCCGGTCTACTCCTCTGTTTAAGTATATAGTATTATTATGCCCACTGCAGTCGTACATACCTATACCAGGTATATACCTCCTGTTTGATATCCGCAGCGACCATCAAGCCACGACAGTGTGTGTGTGTGTGTGTGTGTGTGTGTATACCGTATACCGGTTTCTGACGCCAACCGCTTATGCATGCGTATCGCCACGCGGCTGAGATCGAAAGTGGTCTTATTCGCAGCATCGCGTTGCCCACTCGTCGGCAGCGGCGGCCGAGGAATAAATTTCTCCTTCTAAAGTCCTCCTCACACGATTGTCCACCAGCACAACGAACGATAATCGTGCACGAAATGGATGAACTATCCAGATATTACCAGCACCTATACCGTACCTAACCTACCACCGAGGCCGTGGTGCGATTGTTATAATATTATAACACCATAGACCGCGTATTATTTTTATTTTACTCGGTTTTAGTTTTGGTTTTTCTTCTTACCAGTATTAAATAATCGAACCGTTCGAGTCTTAAAGTACGCAATATTATATACAATGTACTGTAGTGGTTTATATCGTGCAAATATGAATTCTTGGACGGATACCGCTGCTAGAAGTATAATTCTGTTCCTGACGTTGTTCATGTGTTTTGTCGCAACTCGAAGTCAGATAGCTGTCCCTAGAACTGCCCATAAGCTAAACGAACCACAAGGTAAATTCATATTTAAAATAATACCAAACATGTATATAATATGAAAAACCTTACACAATTATTTGTTAAGGAGATTAAATATTTTTAAAAAAAATTTTAAGAAGATAAATATAAGAGTATAATACAACCTTTATTTAACATAAAATATTTCGAATCCTTAACAGTTCCCGTAGAGCGAAATAAGAAAGGGATATTAGTGTATTAAATATTTGGAATTGGTAATTAATTACAATTTACAAGTATTTCTAAAATTAGCCTTTATCATAATATTATGTACCTACATCGATTTAATAAAAAATAAATTTGACATAATATAATATATTGGGTTATTTTATAATTAAAATTATTTAAACATGAATACATTATTATTCACTCTCATAAACTTGTGTCTATTCAAAACGCTATATTTAATATTGTATACAAATATATAGGTACAATATAAATATTTCAAATTCGAAGAAGTACGCAAATATGAATAATTAAAAACCGTTTTGTTTTACCAATTAGAAAATATTATAAATGAGTACTTTAATGACTAACACTTATGTCTTTAATGGTAGTGTGATAAGTCTGGTAAAAATCCGTTTATCTCATTCAGCTTTCTCTCGTCCACAAGAATTTTTTTCGATTTGACTTTCTTTATAAAATATTTTAGTCGATACTCCTGTTTAAAATGCTTAATAGCTATTATCTTTCGAGTTATTATAGCAATCAATAAATTTTGTGGCTAACATATTATATTAGTATATGTATTGTAATAAAAACATTAAACATACCTAGTGTAAACGTCATTCAACTCGACAATCAAATTGTAAATAATAGAAATACCTAAGTGTAGTTTACATAATATTATTATGTAATTGCCGTTATTAAGTTAATATCAATGTAACGAGGCTTTTATTTTTATTGTTATACTTTTTAGAATTATCAAGTAAAATCTTTAACAGCTCAAGGATAAAGAATGTGAAGTATCCATTAAAAATAGATATAGGGAGTGAAAAACAAGAATACTTAACCTATAATAGAACCTATGTCTCTTGGCATAGGTCCTTGACAAAATGTCATAGAAATATATCGTAGAAAGGAAAAATGTTTCTGTTATATAGTTTATCCAAACAAATAAAATTGTATGAATGCTCACATTTGTGTGAAAATTAGTATGTAGGAAATAACGAGTTTCTTTTTTTAAATTTTGCTTTAAGCCAAGACACTAGTGCACAACTAAACAAGTCGAATATTTCAATTCCGGATTTATTCCAATCAAATTACGACCATATTACATCACACATTAATTTATAGTAACTTTTAATGGAGTAAAGACGTATATAGAGGATAATATATAATATTATAATATTGATGTTACTACTTATTAAGTTTTGTTTTTTACATACAAATTTTTAATCTGATCAGTTATGGTGACTCTTAATAGACGTAATGGATTAAACAGGCGTATATAGAGGCGATAATAATATATTATAAACGTTATTACTTATTACGTTTCGTTTTTTAGAGATCAATTTTTGAATCCATGTGATCTTAGATTAGTTTATTGTAATTATTATTCTAATACGAATAGGTTTTATTATATAATTGCTTAGTTATTTACAGGCCATTATTTCTACACTAAAATAATGAAAAAGAGTTAGTAGCCAGTAGGTAGTAGTTACTTATTCCTTTTCAAATTTTAATCTCTATTTTTTTATAAATTTCAGTCGGTTATTTTTATTATTTAGAAAATTACTCATAAAAATTATAATACCTATATATACCTACGCATTTAATATTATATCCGGAAATGTTCGTGTTGTCCATCTCATACTCTTTCTAACTTTTAATGCTCTGAATTCGAACGTCATCACCGTTGGATATTATGCTATAATACTGTTTTTAAATAATAACTGAAAATAAAACATGTCCTGTAACAAAATATCGTAAGCTAAAAAGCTTACGACTTTGTAAAAACAAATAACAGTCGGTAGTAAGAAATACGATATTTTATGTTTATAATAATACGGTGTAAGTCGTAGAATCCGCTTATGATAATAGCAAAAATAACTGCAAGACCTTTCTGTATAATTGATGGTTATGTCGTTGTACAGATTTATCAAAGCGAAACTGTTTTAGCACGCGCTATTATCATGTGCTACACAATAGGCGTGAAACACTATTATTGTTTGCCTACTATTATAATGTGCATGGTTATAATATTGCGCCAATCTCAGCTGCAGCAAGCGTTTATTTCAAACACCGAAATGATTAATATTTTAACACCTGTATGACGAGAAATTAAGAGTTATAATATAGTAAACCTAAAATTAGAACGAAAACGTGTATTTGTTTTTATGATTGAAATGCAGCTTCTTTCGTAGGCATCTATACTTACCTATATACCATGTGTATACGATTCAATAAACATACATGGGTTTGAAGGTCGTGACCAGTAATAACTTATATAGTTATATATAATATATATTATGCCCTACTGTATCTTACTATAATACTACTGAAAGTTATAGCACGTATATAATATGTATGTGGTGTGTGTGTGTGTGTGTGTGTGTGTGTGTGTGCTTTGCCGCTCGACTGGCTATATTGTATAATGTGACATCCAACCGGTATCAAAGAAGAACTTCCTTGTGTACAGATATGTCTCCACCTATACAGGTGGGTCTCAACTCGTCGAGAGAAAGTGGATATAGGTACTTTACATCACACGAACCTATATAATTTTGTCTCCAATCTCATTATCACGGTATATATATCTTTAAATATTGTTTTAAAATATACAAATATAAAAATTTATCAGATTAAAAAAAAATGTCTATTATTATACTTATATATGTTCCAATATTACACCATTATTATAATAATATTATATACTGTCCATTATTAAATAATGGTTTTTTTTTGCATCTACCATAAGCTCCGTAATATAATTTAATAGGTATACTCCTAAAACTCTATAACGTTGCATAAGATTATTTGTACGTATAATAATATAATATTATAAGTAATAAAAAACAATTTGGGCCCTACAAGTCCTTTTTTTTACACACATTTTTATAATGCCACCAGCATTCAGTAGTAGAGAAAGTACCGTATAATGTAATGTGATATTATAATTTATAATGGGTACTTTTGTGAACAATGCTTATAGGTATACATTTATATGGGCGTGTAGTTTGTACACCACAGACGAGAAAATCAAATATTCCATGGATTATAAGTCAAAATTATAAATTTAAATAAAATAATGTCATAACCGTTTTCCATTTTTAGAAGTTTTTTAAATTTAATTTTATAATTTGAATTGGTATAATAGTATTGAATTAACGAAAGAAAAAGTTAGTTGCATTATCGTACAAATTCCGTTATAATACCTATGACGTTACTTTGTTGTAACTGCGATATTCGTTTGTTTATAGGTAGGTAGGTTACTTGTAATAAGTTATAACTTTTATAAATAGTTATAATATATAGGTATATTATAATACAGCAATAGATGTTATTCATCAATGTAAAATTGCGTGTACAATAATGAACATATAATAAATTTTGTTAGTTATGCAATTATAAAGAAGTATTTATTAGACTTCACTTGGGTAATAATGTAATATAACGAGATACAAAAAATATATTCGTTGCTATATCTTTAAAACTAAATGACAGTTATCAATAATTAATGAATTGAATATACCCAAGTACCCATCTAGGTATACTTTTATAATTCTTAATGTTAGTGAATTTGACATTACGCTTGTAAGAATATTTAAAAATAAACGTTTCATTCTGTGTGTATGTTGTATTACTCAACTTATAATTTGTTTGAAATAAAAATATATTTCTATGAGTTAAGCATAAGAACTCAATTAAATTATTAAAAAAATTATAGTATAATAATATGTATTGCATTAATCATTATTATTAGGTGCATCTTAAGGTCATACATCAATAATTTACATCTTCCTTTTTTGCAAACATTTTTGTCTCCTCTCCCCATTTAATGAGGTAACAGTAATATTATATATTATTTTCACGATTTATTTATGTACACATTAAACTATAATATCTACGACCTAGTATCTTTCAACAATACCTATATAATTTTATCTCTATTTCCATGTAGGTATTACTGCAAACATTACAATAATCAATGTTCATATTTCATATATAGTAGTCCATAGTAATATGCTTGGTTTACTACACAATAATGATGATTGAGTACCTATAATAGCCTATAATAGGTATTAAATTTAAGTTAGGTTATAGTTACAAGGTAGGTAGTATAATGGCTACAACAAAATAACAACATTAACAACTATAATACATTATGGTAAACCGACTTAACCGTAAACAAATTAATTAGTATTTAACCTGTTTACATAATAACATTGTATACCTAATGTTGATATTCCAAATTTTAAACTCAATAGTTCAAATAAATTTTACCTAAGAGGTTAAGAATAAAGCTGTAAAAAAATATCTCATAACAAATTGAAAAAAAATGACTAGCGTATATTTTAATATTTAACTTTTCTCTGTAGTTCCAACTATTAAATACAATTATCTACCTGTATAATGATGTATAGGTATAGTCAGTACATCATAATGGTTACTGGTATCAAGAAAACAATCACCTCTAGTTGTATGCTGTGTTTATAAGTTACGTTATTAAAAAGTTTCTGATGGGTGCCTAGTAGGCACTGCCTACTGAATAGTACATTATTATTCGAAAATAAATATATATAATTGTCTTATGGATGCAAATAATAGGTTTCTACTGATTGATTACCAACTATAGTAAAAGATCGATGAAATGAAAATATGCAACACTATTGTTAGTATAAACGTTGCAAAGCGCTCGAGATAAACGTTGCTCTTTCTATTATTTAAAAAAAAAATTATTTAGGAATATATTATATAATCCGCAGGTATTGAAATACAAGTGTAATAAAATCAGAAATTTATTTAAAATGCACGCCAGCTTAGGTTACAGGTCTGGTGTGCGAGGACTAATCGTGTATTTATGTAAGTTACGCTATATGTATAGTACCTATACCTACCAATGTATATACAATGTTTTTGGATTTTACTGTAAAACGGTATAGGTTATCGATTTAACACGACACAGTGATAAATGCTTCAAGAATGTGCAGGATAGAATAATATAGCTTATATAATACAGTATAGCTAAACATTTAAGAATTTCAAGATGATAGGTAGTATCGGAAAAAAATTTTGTTGCTTCGACAAATGAAAAAAACTCTACCGTCGTTAAAACTGTACACAGACTTTCAATAAATAATGTGCATATGTATATGATATAATAGCTCTATGACCATATTATATGAGGTCTATCTACTTTTTGTCATCATAACAGTCATCCAGTAATTATATCCAGTACTATCTATAGTGTTCGATCACATAATGCCATATACCTGGTAGCCGGTAGGTATGTATTGTATTATGCGTATACCTACCTAAAAGTAATAAAGATCTATATAATCAGAAAATACTCACATTATATATAAATTTCACACATTGTGTGCATATTTCGTTGGCGTAACGAATTTTTCTTCAAACGTCGCGTAGGTACTATTTATTATTATATACCTACCCATACAATAGCGCCATAGTAGTTTGGCTAAGTACTTATTCTATACATTTCACGTATATACCTATCTCCGTTCTCATAACATAGCGTGCAATACGAACATAACAATATAGCTGATCCGCCTACACGTCATGATATGTATAAATGTATAATATATAAAGTGATTCACCAATCGTGTTCACCCAATCACCCCCATAATGTCCGTAATTTAAACATTTATTCAAATTCAATTTTTTTAGAACCAATGATCATAGGTACTGAACCACCTTATTTATTTTAAATACATCGAATTTGAATGAAAATAATTGATTTTTTCAAACGAGAAAAAGGGAGCTTTTTTACTGTAAATTGTTTAAATTATATTTTTCGAACATTTTAATGTAACCTTAATATAAATCTAAATTTATACAAGTGGTTTTTAAAAATAATTTATGTAATAAGGTTATAAGGATAATAGTTCATGATATTAGAGGTTTATAAGATATTGGGGGTATGATTGTTTATAATTTATAGTACCTACTACCTACCTAATCAATACTTATCTATTAGCATTTTATATTTTTTTTAATTTTTCTGATTAATGAGTTTTTACTAAATATTACATCAATAATATGGTTAATATTTATTAGACTAATTTTATTATCATCATTGACTATACTAAGTATCTTTAATACATAAATTGATTAATCCCGAGTTACGAATTGAATGCATCAACATTTTCAAAAATAAATGTTTTCTCAACTTGTAGTGAAAAGGTAAATTCTCATTATAAATATAAATTTGTATCGAAAACCCCTAAATACCCCAATAAAATTTAAGTATTTGTAATTTGTAAAAAAATTATTTTCAACATCAGTACGTCACATGTGTTATTTCTGTCTTACAAACGTACAGTAGTATAGCAAATGTGCGTTCAGAAGAACCAATTTTGTATTGATTGCATTATCGAATTTCAGAATAAGAATAATTTGAGTACCTCATATAGGCTTTTTATTTCCATTTAAATTTAAATATGAAATGTCATGAGAATTTAAAAATTTTAATATTTTTCATACCTATCTACCTTTATAGTTATAATAACTCCAATATTAAAGATATCGACAAAAAATTGGTTCTGCAGTACCCACATTTTCCAGGTTGTAAATCGAATAAATGCATAATATAAGAATACAACAGGATTAAACACGATTGGCGAATAACCATGTATAAAACCTAACCTATAAAAATAAAATATATTAATATAGTATAGCTATAATATAGTATACCTTCTATTCAATATATAGCGTAGGTACCTACCTACCTTGGTTATACCTATACCTAACTCTGTTCTCGTAACATCGAGTGCAATACGAGCATACAATTTGACAACCTACATAATATTATCATTATAAATATAATATTATATATATATGCGCATTATAAATTATATCATGCCATTGTCATTCATTATTTATTATTGTTTTTATTATTAACATAAATATTATGTTTTTGTGCGGGGTACAACTTTTTTTTTCTAACCGATTTTTGTAACAATGGTAATATAATTTCCACATGAACGCAAATCAACCACAAAAATATATCACTCTACTCAATAATATCTTTCCTCTAAATGGAAAATCTATGAATCATAAATATGTTAAGAGGACGTCGCACCAGCGTGTTGTCTCCGTCTTATACACATACGACATAGCAAATGTTCGTTGGCTAGTTTCAATAGGGTATTGTCAGTTCTTATATTATAATGAATTGACTTTTAGGTAAGAACAGTATCTGTGTTCTGTCGTTGGTTTTTTACAATATTTTAATTTTTAAGTGAGTTATGGATACCTATGTAAAGTATTCATATTCTAAAATGTTCATAACTCACTTAAAAATTAAATATCGTAAAAAACCAACGAGAGAACACAGATAATGTTGTTACCTAAAAGTTTGATAATAGGTCGATTCACTCTAATATCAAGACTGACAATACCTTATTGAAACTAGCAAACGAAAATTTGCCATGTCGTAAGTGTGTAAGACGGAGACAACACATCCGGGTGAGACGTCCTCTTAATAACTAATAAGAAACCACGACAACGGAAACCTAACAAAAAATTGGTCAGAAACAAAAAACGTGTATCCAGCCCAAAAACATATTAATTATGTTTGGAAAAAATTTAATTTATTAAATTCTTAACAAAATAAAGCATGCTAGTAGATATTTTTCCACTACTACACTATATACCCAAAAACATATTATCTATATGTTTCTTCAATTATCATAGTATTAATCGAGGAGGAAAAATATCTAGCAGCATGCTACTTTTTTTTTTTTTTAATAATTATTGCACCGACGTGCTGTCTAATTGTACCGATGCGAATCACGCAATGTTGTGTTATCCACTCTTGAAATTCTTGTCTGTTTGTTGTGTGTAGGTGGTGATTTAGTGAGGCAGAATAGCATTACGCAGCAAATACTGGCGCAGTACCTGCAAAAGCGTCTGAACAGGGCGGGCGGGAGCGTGCAACAAATCGGTCAGCCACAGTTGTTATTGCCGACCGGTGGAAACGATTTGACGGCCAGTGTCGTCGGTATAAATAATAACAGTATTCAGAAAAATGTCGCCGAAAATCTTTACGACGGAAGTCCCGATGACGATGACGATATCATCGGAGATGCGCGATATTATCAAGGTTAGAACGTAGTCAGACAACAAAAATCGCGCATTACCTTTTGCTCCTATAACAATATAATACGTATTACAACCTGCACACTGTAAAGTCGGCTCTGTGGTGTGGTGGGGGGGGGGGTTAGGACCTATAGTAGATGGACGGACAAACACAGGGACGAAAAAATAAGAGCAATAGATATAATAATTGGAATATTAGATTTGCACACAAGTTTCATTTTTCAAAAAGAATTTTTTTTGAAAATAGTTCTTAGTGTCCGCACTGTCGCAAGAACTATGGTGTGTATTAAACGTATTTTATATACCTATCATACATTTATAACAATTTGTGGATGTGGGTAATCTGAAAATATACGAAAACGAATTATTAGAGTAAATTCAAGATCAAGACAATATTATGATAAGCTTACGGTTATATATGGGGTTCTTAGTGCACGGTTATCTAGCTCTAGAACTCGTGTTATAACTTATAAGTACCTATGCTAAATCTCTATAAGTACCTTTAGCACCAATTCTATGTGTGCCAAATGTATTAACAGAAGCCAATAACTTATAATTAGTGCCGTAGTGGATACTTAAGGTATATCGTATATATATTATACTATATAGTATATAGTATACTTATAAGGACACGATCGTGTGTATTGTGCCAATCGGCGCCTGAAAAATATCCCTTATTGATTTAGATATAAGCCCCATATGGATTATTTCAAATCGATTGTTTTGTTAGGTGGGCTAACATCGGGACCGCGTTTTTTCTGATATGAATTATATCATAATAGTCCATGGTTTGAACAGTGAACGATGTGTAACCTAGGGGCTGTAAATACGAAATTTATAATGTCTACGTTTTATTATTAACCATTTTTTATGGTTGAGAAAATATAGTAGTCGAGTGTGGTAATAAATATAGAATACTTCATGCGGAAATTGTTCGTAGTAAATATTTATGGGGCGAGGACATTGGACGACGAAGTATGCGCTTCAAAATTCGTGATCCAAGCGGAGGTCAGGTCATGAAAAACATATTTAGAGTTTGACCAAATCAAATCCTTGACCAAATTATTAAAGTGTTTATGGAATACATCATGTGAAGAGAGAGAACTATTTATAATTAATTACTAGCTATATGATACCAATTTATATTATAATTACATAGTATATACAGATACCTATAAATTACGATATTATACGTTTGCATTGTACATGCAAAGCCCCTCTGCAGATATATCTATTAGAATTAATATTCAAGACAGATAAGTGTATATAGGAGTTGATTTAAAGTGATGATAACAAAAATAGGCGTTCTTTACAACCGTGAACATTTTAATTGTTATTATGCTACTATAGAATTAATAAAAAATATATCGATTTTTGATGTATAGGTAGCTACTTTTTTATTTTTATTTGATATATTACTCAAACAACACAATAGACGAAAAATTCAATATAATACATCATACTCGTATTATATTATACGTCTACGTACACAATGTTATAATATTTTAACAATCGTATACGTTCTAATTATTTTGATTGCAAAACTACAATAAGTACAGAAAATCTCGTTAGATGATATCAGTTTTGCGTCTCAAATGATTATTGAACATGAAAAAAATATAGGTAATGTTCCTAATGCCGTTTAAAATATTTCGCTATAATTTACTAAGTGGATCTCATCGCTATTGTTCGGTATTTTGTAACTTATATTGTATAGACGTAGGTGCTATTATATACTGTACACGAGTAATAATAACTTATAAAATAACTACCTATATTGAATTTGAAAATTTGTATATGCACCTGAGTTTGTTAATAATAAGTACCAACAAACCTTGATGGTAGTTCTTATATATTTATATTTTAATATCTATTATTACATAATTAGATATATGATGTACAGGTGTGCTTCGTAAGATACTCATTTCTGATTTCATATAAAAAATTATATGATTGTATAGATATACATGACTGATATTAGAAGAATAATGGTACCTTTCACAGTTTCACATAATATACTACATTAAATAATGAGTGTATTACTGTATTAGTAGTTTTGTAGGCATCTATCTACATCATTATTGTATTGTGTGATAAAATAGTTTTTTGTCATTTAAAGAGCCTATTCTTCATAAAACTAGTTATTCTGACTATGTAATGAATTTATGAATAACATAATAGGTAATCATAATAACATTTTTTTTTTCACAATCATTGTTGAAAATTGAAGAACTTGTATAATCTACTAAATCCCTACTACAGTAGTAACTTGAACCTTTTTAATCAATACTGGCATTTCGTATTACCTAAATATTAAATACTATAAATACCTACACCTGCAATAAAAATAATAATTAAATTGAATATATACTCGTAACTCGTTATAGAATCAATCACGTCACTATAAAGTACTAAACATAGATAGATGTTGCATAAACGTATAAATCTAATATTTATGTACACAGGGACGCATTTAGAATTTTCTCTTGTGGGGAGGGGGGTATAAAAAATGTAATTAACAAAAAATAATAACGAAGTAATCAACTATAGTAAAGTTGCATATTTTTGTTTCAAATTATAATATATTATCTATAAGAAATCTAATTTCTTTTTTTCAGGTAAAATTTTCTATAACCTCATTATCTGTAGCCTTGTAGGTACCTATTTCTTCTTCTCGGTGGTATGATAACCAATCCAACCCTTACCATGGTCGTATACAGGGGGGTTATGGGAGATGGATCCTCCATAACCTTTTTTAGATTCTGAAAGGAGCGAGGAAGATAGTTGTTTTACAATGGTGTTTATTATTTTTTTTTATATATATCCTGTATGAAAAATATCTACCAGAAGGAGTGCTTCGATTTCAACATATAGTACCTTATCTTTTAGCAAATTGGATCAAGATGGTAGATACTTTAGAAAGGTCATTTTTCGATTTTCTCAATAGTTAGGTATATTTAATGCCACAGGAAAACCCACCGAAAATTAATTACGAAAAACCGCTAAAAATGGGATTTTAATTTCTAATGCTTTGTTTATCACCATAGAAACGAATAAAAAATAATAATAGCTATTATAATATAGATTCAACTTCCAGGATAAAATAAATAATAACAATATCCAGACTGACAAACCGTCACCGGCTCACCGCTCAGAATCGTTTTTCCTATACAATGATACTACTGTACAGCAGAGCGACATCCACTTACCGACTCTTTTATTTTATATATAATATTAGCGCGGGGGCATTACCCTGCTATTTATCTCAGAAATAATTAATATATATTTATTAACAAATTTTTCCAATATAGTATAATATAATATTATGATTTTAGTAATTTGTACCTATAATATTATGTATACAAAAGTTACAAAAAAAAAAATTCAATTGGAATTTTCCAACGGGCTGTGAGTTTTTTTTAAATAATCCAAAAACAAATTTGTTTGAAATTAATTCATATTACTTGATGAATCAATAGAAAATCAGTTAAAGTATAGAAACTGTATATTTTTTATTATAAAGTTTGTCGAATGTATATATTTATAATTTTTTTAGGTATACCTACGCGAACGGTCGTTCATATTTCTGTACAGTTTCCGATAATTCTTTTCTTGTGGACTTAAATACAATTAATGATTCATACCTCGCTAAAGATGAATTAATTGATTTTTGAAAGATAAAAAGATCACACCACGGTTTTCAAACAAAAAATTTAAAATGCAATTAAAATATTTTGGTGTTCGTTGAAAAACACCGCGTGGTTATCTGTGAGTTGTATCCAGAACTATGACATTTTTGATTCCATTCTCTATCTACTACATATCTCTGCGAGTTTGGATTTTCTACAATGGTCTCAAAAATGATTATTCACAATAATTTAGTAATGTATTAACTCTTAATATTATCACTAAAAAATAATGAATACATAAATTATATATTACTTTATACCAGTGGCGGATTTAGCGTCAGGCAAAGTAGGCAGTTGCCTAGGGCGGCAAATTTTTAGGGGCGGCAATTTTAGGCCAATATTTTATTGAGAATACTCTAAGTTTCTTTTTGATTTTCTAATGTACGGTGATTACTCTGAAGGATGGAAAAAAAAATGTTTAATATTTAGGTATAATAATAATCTTGTTAATATAATTTCTTCTTTATTTAATACATAACAATAAAAGTCCAAGTAAATTATCGAACGACTGCCGGGACGTAGATCTATTATCTAAATACTAAACATAGATAACATATTTCGTTAATTTGTTTTTTTGCTAAGTCGTAATAATTATTAATAATCGCTCGTGGTTCGTTTGATCGCATGGCGTTCACATACTACACGCACAATACATACAGATATGATATATTTAATACGAATACGGGTGACGATCGATTCGTATTGGAACGATAGTTTAATTATAAACCAGTCACTGTGAATATTTTTATATAATATACTCGTACCTACGTAGTACGTACTATGCATTATGTGTACAAAAATAAAACTTTTTCTATCTAAAAGATAAAATTATGTAATAATTGTTTATTTTTCTTCGGGACTATGAAATAGAGGGCGGCCGAGTAAAAAATAGGTTTATTTTGATTAGACATTCGATTATTTTCAACATAACATTCAAGGCGGATAGACTTCATATTCGGTTATTAGTATACTACTTAAATTACTGGTAAGTAAAAACTATATTTTATAAACACATTTTATTAGAACAGTTTATTAACATAAATGCCATTAATTATTGTTTAGTATCAGTTTTTATGATTTATTTTTTTAGTACTTATGTTAAATAATTATTTAAAATTACGTTTTCTCGTTGATAAGTTTAATGGGGTGGCAATAAAAAAATTGCCTAGGGGCGGCAATTGTGTAAATCCGTCTCTGCTTTATACTTCAATGGGGTCCATGACCCAGAAAAGGTTAATAACCTATGCTATAATACAGTATTACGAAGTATTTATAGTGTAGATTGTATTATTGATTCCATAATTTTGAACTATAGTAAATGGTAAATCCTGTAAATCCTCGTGTGGTACCCAGTAGGTAAATGTAATAATTTAACTGTAACCACGGACTAAGATATAATATATACTAAGATATCTTAGTCCGTGACTGCAACATTATAACTTATGTTCTAGGTAATAAATATTTTTAAAAAAAAATTTACATTGGTAATTCATTAATAGTCATAATTTTAGTTTTTCAATTCATTTCACATTTATCAATTGTTTCTGTTAGGTAGGTAGTACACTTTGTAAATTTATAGTATTAGGTACTCAATAAAATACCTGTGCCGAGTGGCAATCTTATAAAACGTAGAAAATATCTGATAAAATTATATATTTTTTTCAAATATGTATTCATATTTTTCGATCATTTGCAATATTTTATACTATTATACATATTAATATTATAAGATGGTAAATCGAATATACTATGTATATGTGGTCAAGCGGAAACCAACTATTATATTATTATGTATAATTTGTTTCACACCAGTAATTTACATTATAATAATAGTTCTTGTCTTCTCGAAACTGCCGAAATATGTACCGACGTACCGTATTAAAAAAATCTAATTTATTTTTGAAACACTACGGAGGTAATATTATAATGAGAATACATTAAAAGTATTTATTATTGCGATTACGAAAATGTCAAATATTTTTTATAATGTTCCACGTACAGACGTTTATGTTTTGTTTTTAAGAATGGTACACCCGTCGGTCATCTGCAGATTACATCAACTGAGTATTATCATGGGTATTTTATGAATTGTGAATAATAAATTTTCAAAACTAGTTATTTTTAATTTGGTGCACGTAAGTTGTTATAATATTATGTTTTTCGAGTAGCTGACCTTGGATGCAGAAAATAATAAAACATTTAACAATATTTGTTTTTTTTTTTTTAATTTTATTACGACGCACCGTATTAATATGCTTTGATTAAAACTATAATATGACGAATAATTTACACATACATTGTATACATTTATTATTACTAACCCGCATGCATTCAACATACGTCTACACATTAAGAATAACCAAACGTTTAACATAATATTACATATTTCATATCAATATAATATAAATCATTCAAAAATACTTCTATATGTATACTCAATAGTCGATATACATCAATGTAGAGACCTAGCTAATAGTACCCATATGGGTATGTTATTTTTAAAAACATTTTAGAAGGTTACGTTTGAACCTTGAACCTATATTGGAGTGCAACGAGTTACAATACCTCGAGGGTCTGAACCTGAAATCAAAATAAACCTCACGGTTAAAGAATAATGTGTAATGTTGTACTAATGTAGATTGTATATGATGTATAATATCAAATATGTATATAAACAATGAAGTGTACCTATGTGACACTGAACAAATGGATGGTATCATTTTTGACATTTTTTTTCCTCGCCAGCTATAACAGGAAAAACAACAACAAAAAATGTTTAAAAGTGTAATATCTTATCCATTTGTATAATAATTGTAATACTTACTTATAGTATATTTCCCCGTACATAAATTATACATACCTACCTACGTACATCATGCACTATACTGATAGTTTATAATATTATATACATCAGTATATTATATTCAGTGGTAAAAAACCAGTATTAAAACGAGTGGCTAAGGAGATATTATCATTATACATTAATTATACCTAATCAATACCACTCAAAAGTTTATAGATGGAAAAAACCCTCTTCACAACAATGTTTCATATCTCGAAACATATTATTTCGTAAAGATGAATCTAGATTCTAGGTATACTACGCAGGAATTATACTCCACATAATTAGGTACGCATCTATATGATAGCCAAATAGGTATAAGTTAAAATACCACTGATCATATAAGGTAGTTACGAACAACTCATTTTTTGTATAAACATTTTAGTCGACAATTCGACTATTGTTTAGTAATATTTGAACTTAAACAGAATAATTTATTTCCAACAGAAATAATATGTTCACAATTATATTATATAATAGTTATTTTAAATATTATAAAAATAATAATAACTGCACTTATATCAAATTAATATAATATTAAAGCTTTGAATGATAATACAATGATATGCAATGATATTACATCATAATATATTCAAGTTAATTTCGTCTTATAGAATCTAAGTTTGTTTTACCTTAAACTATTGTAATAACTATCAATAGTTTACAGTACTAATTAATGATAATAGGGAAAATTAATTTTTTTCGGTGAAACACTTGAAATATTTAAGGTCACTCTACGTCTCTACATCAATAATAATAATAATATGTATTACATTAGGCGAATGTTGAAAAACATTGTTTGTTTATAATAATTACTTGATTTATTAGAAGTAGACACTTTGTCGGATGAAGAGCTAACTAAAGTGGATTACACACTAGGCGATTCGAACGCGCGTTTTGAACGTCGTGATTAATCGCCCAAAATTAAACATAAACTTTTATATGGGCTTATTCACGCACGTAAATGAGGGTCGCGTTCGAACGCGCCGAAACGTACATGTTTAATTTTGGGCGATTAATCGTATGTAACTTTAACCAATAAATAACAGCGAGTAGGTACCTACTACCTATACCTATTCGATATAAATTGCATAATCAGGAACCGACCTAACCACTGACAACCTCTACTAAAATAAGGCACTTGCAAGACTAAAACCATATATTCGGCGCCACTATGATAAAATATTATTCCAATATATCTCAGTAGAGATTTATTTTAACCACGCACTCATTAAGTCTTTTCATAAAGTAATAATTTAATATTAATTAATCATACTTCTTCAAGTTTTTCATTCATCGATATAAATATAAAGGATGATTCACCAGGCATATTCACCAACTTTTTTTCTGTAATGATAAATGAAAGTACTTACCTAATTAAATTTTGATTTTTTTTTTAGTTTTTAGATTACACTTAAGGATTAAATTTCCAATCATTTAGATTAGATATTACTATGTTATTTTAGGAATATTCTGTCTACCAACCTATATATTTTTTTTTAATAAGAACCACATTTTTTCCTTTAAGTAAGTACATGCATTTTAAAAAATGTTGATAAATCTAAATCAAAATTCAAACAATAAGTTGTTTTTGAGTATTGAGTTATACAAATTTGTCTAGGTAAGGATGATATATGTCCATCAGCCATTATAATAGATTATAATAATATGGTAAATATATGGGAGCTGTAATGATTTTACAATTATACCTAGTAATTATTTTTAATTTATAAACCTTTTATAATTAATAAAAATAGATATATTATAACAAATACGCTAGATCCAATTTTATCTTCGACCATTATAATACATTTGGTTAATAGGGGGGCTGTAATGATTTTTAATATTATACCAAATATTATTTAATGATCAAATCATAAAAATTAACAAATGCCAGATGAAATTTTACATATATTTTTGTTGGTTGCCATATTTAAGTAGTAATTATTAGTATGATTTAAAATATGGCTACTAAATAGAATTTGAATAAATGTATAATTGAAGGAAATCATTGAGAATGCTAGGTAAACCACTCTGTATAGATACTTCATTTTTGTTTTGAATATTCGGTATAATGTCAATTAATTTACAATATTATGTGATTTTATGTTACAGGCGAATGCAACAATAATAATTGTGTTGAAGACAGCCCTTCCGTCATCAATAAATGGTCACTGCCACTTTTACGATCGGGAGACAAAAAATTATACTTGGGAATATTTTTTAAGGTAGCTATAAAAAACATGAATAAAAAAAAAATCGATTTGAATGACAAACGAATGCATCACCTGACACCTATTTTTATTGATCTAGGCCAATTGGTACAAAGCCGCCCAATATTGTAGATATCATGGAATGCATTTGGCTAGCATAAGTAGCCAAGACGAGAATGACAAGTTGGAAAAATACATTAAAGACAATGGTAAGAACATAGATACCTACCTACTTGATAAATAAATTATCGTAAACTGTGTACCTATAACTGTAGGTACCTATTTAGCTTGTGGAAAGGGTGTAGTGTGATAACAGGTTTTAATTATTATAAATTATTACGAAATTTTATATTGTTTAGGTTTAGGACATGAACACTTTTGGACATCTGGTACAGATCAAGCAGAAGAAGGATCATTCTTTTGGTTGGCCAATGGCAGGCCAATTGGATATACTAACTGGAATGCTGGGGAACCAAACAATTTCAAATATGAAAATGGTGAAGAGGAACATTGTTTAGAGTTATGGAATCGAGACGGAAAAGGTCTAAAATGGAACGATTCACCATGTTCGTTTGAAACCTTTTTTGTATGTGAAATGTGAAGAACTAAGAAAAAATCATTAGGAATAATTCAATTAATATTAATTGTACTATAAAAACATTGAGCATTACTATAATTTATAACTTTATCACATTAGAATTAGTTTGTAAATAATTGCATTAGACAAATCTCTCAATTTAGATTTAATTATTTAAATGAAAAAAAGTTTCTAAACTGATTATAAATTATGATATATCATATGTACTTGTAATAGTATAAGTTGTTAGTTAAGTAAATACTAAGAAAAATACTTTAAAATATAAAAATAAGTAGTTATGTTAACATTTATTTAGTAATATTGAACAGAAAGAAATTGTATAAGATATATATAGGTACCTATGTATCGATTTAAATATACCTATAAGGCACTACAAATTGTTTGAAATATATTCATTTAATATGAGAAGTGTCTTAACTATTTTTAGTTATTATTTAATCAATTTTAAATGCGTATATGATGGATTGGTGACCACGACTGACCAGTTGTTCATCTTAATTCTGTAACAGTAACAACAAATCGCACCTATATTTTTTTAATCAAATATAGCTGATAATGATGGTCGTTAAACGAAATATCAATTAACGATGATAAGCCATGATCTGTGTTCGAGTGCAACAATTTTAATCTCTCTCTCACGGCTCATGTCAAAAAAATAAAAAATCTACTTCTCAGTCCGCAGACAAAGTTCTTGCCTATTCGTTGTTGAATTTTGCGTTGTGTACAAATATAATATAATATTATATCTGTGTTTAATACGGCAAGTTGTAGATAACATAAATGATAACACAGTACACGTACAGTTAACAAGTCCGAAGCTCCGAACTTTAAACCGTTCTTACAACTATCTAACACATATAAGTAAGTAGAAATTCCAGAGTTTTCTTGTACCCCTACTTATATAGTATATTATGTTACTAGAGTAATTTGACTTATTAAAATACATTATATTAAATTACGATCTACTACATATTCAACCAATGTTACCTATAAACTATATTGTTAATTTGTATGCAATAAATACGTTAGCTCATTGTGATGGCTATTAATATGTCAGCTGTGCTTGCAAATGCTGGCCTAGAAGCACTGTTGAGATATGTCTATGATTTGGAGTTTGAGTTTTCAGCGGTACCGGCTGCTTTGATGACTGGAGCTATTGTCGGTGCAAGTATAGTATTTGTGGATTTCTTATAGGTGGAAGGATTGGGCTTTAGTTGGCGAGTAAAAATATGTAACATTTGATACCTACCTACCGTAAGGTAGTTGGCTTTGTGGTTCTTATAATATAATACATAAATATAGGTACCTACGGCTCGTGGGCTTTTAATGAAGTAGTGCACATCCAAAACAAATAGAACCAATATTATATATCTGTAATATAAAGTTGAATCGCTGAATGTGCTGCTAAGCGCAAATCTCGAGAACGGCTGGTCCGATTTGGCTCAAATTTTTTTTAAGATGTTCGTAATTGCCAAGAGAAGGTTTTTACGAAAGAAAATTTTAGAAAAATCCACCGGAAAAGTAGGAAATCTGGATGTAAAAAATACAACAGTGGCGCAACAGTGTATTATATTATATTGGTTGCTATTGGTTAATCGGGAATGTTTGTTATTTTGTATTAATATACATATAAATTAATGTTTGGGTGTAGATTAGACCTCTGGGAAGATGTCAGGCTAATTAAAAAATGGTTAAGGGGGCTGCAGCTCACGTATTTTTCATACGTTTTAGACCAATAAGCGGTGGTAAATTACACATACTTCGGAATGTCCGATTTAAATTTTTTATACATGTTTGAATTCATTGATAAAATATCTAGGTTTCTTAGGAAGTCGATTTTCAATTTTCAATTTAAAATGACCTTAAAATAACTATTTTTTGTTTAGAAATCCCATGAAATAATATTGCATTACATTTGTATTTATTTTGGGCACACCTGATTTTAAATAAAAAAAAGCGGGTAAGTGGAAATCGCTCTGCTGCACAGTAGGTTACAAGTGGGTAATTGTATAATGGATTGTATTAAACTTGAATTCAATGATATTCTATCATTGTATAAGAAAAACGATTCTGAGTGGAGACGGTTTGTCAGTCTGGATATTTTATATTGTCATTAATTATTATATTATCATGTAAGTTGAATTAATATTATTATTTTTTATTCGTTTCTATGGTAATAAACAAAGCGTTAGAAATTAAAATCCAAATTTTAGCAGTTTTTCGTAATTTTTCGGTGGTTTTTACCGTGACATTTAATAAATATTGATAAAATCGAAAAATGACCTCTTTAAAGTACCACCTTGATCCAATTTTCTAAAATATAAGGTACTATATTATGTTGAAATAGAAGAACTTCTTCTGGTAGACATTTTGTATACAGGATATAAAATTTTAAAAAAATTTAAAAAATAAACACCATTGTAAAACCCCTAGCTTCCTCGCTCCGCTCAGAATCTAAAATGTAGTTTATTGTTACAGATTAAAATAATAATAGTGTATTATATATTGATTGCTATTGGTTAATCGGGCATGTTTGTATTAAATTTTTACACTTTTTGGCCCAACAGATAAAACTTTATTGATATATATAGAAAAAAAAACTAAAAAAAAAGGTGGGTAAGTGGATGTCGCTCTGCTGTACAGTAGGTTACAAGTGGGTCACTGTATAATGGATGCTTTTAAATTTGAATTCAATGATACAATATCATTGTATAAGAAAAACGATTCTGAGCGAAGACTGTATGTCAGTCTAGGTTTAAGACAAATTATATACATATCTATGGTATTAAAAAAAAAATTTACTTATAATAAATTCCAAATTAATCATATCACATTATCACAATATCCATTAGGTACTTATAACATGTTATACATCAACATCAGTAACAAACCCTGATACTATCATAGATATATAATAGTACACTTTAGAAGTTTCAAGTAGGTACCCACGAATAAAATTATATAATCACAACTAAATAACTAGGTTTTTTAATATGTAATTTCGTCCAAATTTGAACAGGAAATGTCAAATGACTATAAAAATAAACTGTGTTTGTATATTTTTTAGATTTTTCGGTAAGAGAATTAATTACTTACGTGGAATCTTGTTTTTCATTTTCTATCCTTAGCTATAAAAACTGAACATTTTATAATTTATTAATTACAATGATTGATAATTTTCGATTAATTTTGATAAATTTTGTCAAAATTCGATCTTTAAATGCTTATAAAAAAAAATTGTGCATATGTATTTTTAATATTTTTCAACTGATATTGTAACAATATATCAGGAGCCTTGTATTAAATTTTTACACTTTTTGGCCCAACAGATAAAACTTTATTGATATTCATAGAAAAAAAAACTAAAAAAATTTAAAACTTAAAATGTCCGTAAACAGCTCAAAAAGAGTCAAAATATTTTCAAAATTGTATGGTGTATAGGAAATGCTAATATAAACATTCAGTGAAATTTTCATGTATCTACAGTAATTCGTTTTTTAATTACAACAAAAAAAGGAAATTGCCACATGAGAAATCGAGTGAATATCCAATGTTTTAAAAATTTGAATTTCAAACGCTCATAAAAATTTAATTTGACTTTCTTTTTGGAAAACCGATTTTGCGTAAAAATTCCCGTTTTTCCTTAATTTTTATGTTGTTTTTTCCCGGCGCTTGTAAAAACTACTGGGAAATTTTTACTTTTGACCCCGCAAAGTACCAACTAGATTCACTTTCCTATCAGAAAAGCTACTGTTGAAGAAAATCCAAGCACTTTTACTGTCCTAAAACGTGATGACAGACACAAAAAAAAATTAAAAATTAAAAAAAATTAAAAAAAAACGCACATAATTGTAAAATCAATACATTCATCGTTTCACTCAGAATCTAAAATTGATTCCTAAGAAACATAGTCTAGAAGTTTATAAATTCAACCATTTTTTCGAAATTACAATCGAACTTCGGGAAGTATGATTAATTTACTACCGATTTTAGTAGTTTTTATAGTCATGCAAACAAAAATATATTTAATTTTTCGAACTGAATTGACATGTGCGTGCGCATGTGATGGTTATTTCCGGCGCGGTTGCCCGACACGACGTGACAGCGATTCTCGGAAACAATTAGCAGATAAGAATTACTGGATAGGTATACAAGAATAATATTAATAGGCAACAATAATAATAATATTTTTCAAAAATTAAATAAAACCAATATACGTGTATAATATACTACCTATGAATAGTATGAATCATTATATTTGAACACTATACTCTGATCAGTAAAGTTGTCTGTGAGTTTCCGGTGGTTTGTGCTTTTAGATTCTGAGTGAAACGATGAATGTATTGATTTTACAATGATGTGTGTTTTTTATTTTTTTTTTATTTTTGTGTCTGTCATCACGTTTTAGGACAGTAAAAGTGCTTGGATTTTCTTCAACAGTAGCTTTTCTGATAGGAAAGTGAATCTAGTTGGTACTTTGGGGGGGTCAAAAGTAAAAATTTCACAGTAGTTTTCAGAAGCGCCGGGAAAAACAACATAAAAAATAAGGAAAATCGGTTTTCCAAAAAATAGATTTTGGTTTTTGGTGTAACTCTAAAACAAATGAACGTATATACATGAAATTTTCACTGGTTGTTTATATTTGCATTTTCTATACACAATAACATTTTCAAAATATTTTGATTTATTTTGAACTGTTTAGGGACATTTTCATTTTCCATTTTTATTTAGTTATTTTTCTAAAAATATCAATACAATTTTATTTGTTGGTTAAAAAAGCTTGAACATTTAATAGAAGGCTACTAAAGCTCCAATTTGAAGCGGCTACAGCGGTGGTGATTTGGTGTCCGCGGTATGCCCGTCTCGGTGTCGTATGGAGTTGATGTGGGGTATATATTCACAATCGTGATATTAAGCAGTGGTCGGGACGCTACTGTTTTTTTGTAGCACGCTGATGCTACTGCTACTCCCCACAAAAAATTAGTGCGCTATTTCTAACGCTATTGTTTAAATGTAGCGTGGTACATTTTCGCTAAATTTTTTAAAAATTTTTTTTGTTCATTTAGATATTCATTTGAGTACTTGGTCATTATTTGTTAATGCCTACCACTATTTTCTTGTAATTTCGGAAGGCAGGTTTATTAAGTGTAACTCATGTATTTTTGTAACAAAAATCAAAACAAATAAACGTTTTATTGAAAATTGCCAATAATTAGTAGTTAAGGTAATTCGATACATTCAGTTATGTTATCATTATAATCAAATGACGTGGGGGCTTCAGGTTCTGTCATTTTTATTTCAACTATTCAAAATATTTGAAACTTAAAAGAAACATAGAAAAGTAGAAAACACTGAATGCCGAAAACAAAAATAGTGATAATAAAATACTAATATATTAATTATTATTTATGGTTCTGTTTTCAATAATATAAAATATTACATTGTAATAATGCACTTATGATTATAGTCTTATCTATCCGGTCTTATCTTAGTCCGGTCCGGGTTAAACCCGAAAAAATCAAAAATACACTCATCTTGTCATCTTAATTAAATAAATAAATATACATCATAATATTTTAATTATCATGAAATAGGTTAGAAGTAGCGATAAAATAATGAACATTTTCGCTACGCTAACCGTAAATTTCTAGCGCGCTATAGTATTTCTCTACATTGTATATACTGTAGCGACGCTATGTTAATCGCTACAGCTAAAGTAGAGTGCTACTGTAGCGTCGCTACAATTAACGCGCTATTCCCGACCACTGATATTAAGATACAACACGTCTGAAGTGGATAATAGTGTCCGCTGGTGACGTTTATTTAAACAATACAACGGAAAAAAATAATACAACAAGATCGAAAGTTACAGAACCTCACGGCGTGGTCGGACCTGAGTTTTCGGTGTGTGGGTTAGTTTACGTGCGTCCTGGTTAACCGTTGGTGGTCGATAGGCGGGTGGTTGGGACTTCCCTTTCCAGCATGTCGACGTTCGAATTTGCTTACCCATGTGAATTGTGCACGCGGCGTAATCCCAAGAGACTTCATGGTTTACAAGAAAGTCGTGTCCTAGTAACGCGTCGCAATTAGGGTTGCCACCTTTGAAAGAAAGCAGCCCCGGAGACAGGCCGATAAGCAAAAAAAAAAAAAAAAAAGGTCGTTTAGTCATAAATGTGGTCATTAATGAATTACTTTTCAAATTCTGTGTAGTTTTATAATATCGATGCACGGTTACACTGACACAAAAATTAAAAGCAGATATTCGGATTCGTTCAAACACACTCGACTGTGATGTTGAAACAGATTCGTAAAATCGTAATCGTAGACTCATAAAATCATAAACCGTAGTTCATAATCTTATTATTCTTGTTATCTTGAATAAATGGTTTTTATACCGGAAAATAATAAAAAAAAAGGCATAATAATAAAAAATCGTGTGTTATCTTATCTTTATCTCCGACCCGGAGAATAATTCACTGAACCCGGAGCCCGTAGATTTATACGTAAACCCGGATTCTCCGGGTGAAACCCGGAGAGGTGGCAACCCTAGTCGCAATACAAATTGTCTAGGATGGTAGCTTCGAATTTTATATCGAGTGCACCTATCCTAGCTTCGAATGTGGAGGTGCCACTGGTTGTTGCAGTGTGACCGTCCGCCATCCGGACTGTGTTTGTTGGTCCGTGGGGCGGTGTTTTGCCGTATTTACGGGCCACTGTCGGGTTTACGTACGATTTTTGTGCCTGCGAATCTAATAGGGCTGTTACGAAGCCTGACGGAAATTCGAGTTCGACCGCGGGGGTCGGAATTTTGTCTGGGCGTGTTCGCGTACCATTATTTGTCGTAATGCAATCGGTCGAGCGGGTCAATTGGTTCTGAACCGCGATGGAGACTGTCCGGTCGTCGGTGTTAAGGTTAACCGCCATGACCATACTGACATACTGTCAACATCGGTTGCCTCGTTGCTCGCCTGTTGCTTTACGTGCTCAGACTGACCTAATGCGGGGATAAGCGCGGTGTGTGTGCTTGTGTCCCCGTCACCTGTGCGGGTGAACACCCGTGTCTCTGTTGCCTTTGTCCCTACCGGGGCACCTTAGTTGCGTCCCGTAAAAAAGGTATACACGAATTGCGTCCCACTATATATGGGTTAGGTAGTAGAGTATTATTTCGTTTTCAGGGGTTCTCCGTGGTGTGTTAATTATTATAAGATAGCCTGGGCTCTAATATTATGTTTTGATAGTAATATAAATTACGATAGTAAGTTCGTTTATCGTAATCGTGAACAATAAAATACCACCTCTAGTCTACCTATACTATATCGGTAAAGCTTTGTATTATATATATATATGTGTGTATAGCATTTAGTTTCACAATGTTCTGGATTTACCAAACTGATATAAAATACTTGATTAGGTACAGTATTTACTGTTAATAACTGTTGAGTTTAGTATATATTTTACTGCAGTTCAGTCTTCGTTCGTTACTTTTTCGTATACCTACACGTTTTAAAATGGAAGTGCAAAATATTATTAGTGAAAAACAAAAACATTTGAAAATAATTGACAAATATAAGTTCTGTTTTCATAAATGTTTGGCTAATAATATTCAACGTTGGAAATGTACCGTTAAAACGTGTACAGCATATTTAAAAATTAACGAAAATGATGATATTTTACTTAACGTGAGTGATACTGACCACAGCCACGATGCACTATCTGAAGCAGTTATAAATCGACAAATTGTAAGTAATTCTCTTAAGCGAAAAGGTACACAAGAGTTATATGAAAGACCAGCTAAACTAATGCACCGACATTTAAAAGAAAGTATTGATTTCAGTGTTAAAAGTACATTAACAATTACAGATATTCGCTATATAAAAAATAATTTATATCGAGCTCGAAGTGAACAACTACCAAAATTGCCAACAAATATTTTAACTGTCCATTCAGCATTAAATGCTATCGACTGTATTACAAACGAAAATGAACCTTTTTTGTTTTTAAACGATTCTATTAATGGTATAGTAATGTTTACATGTAAATCAAATTTAGAATTTTTAAGTAAAATTAAAACAGTGTATGTTGATGGCACTTTTGAATATTGTACAAAATTTTTTTGCCAATTATTTACAGTTCATGGCCTTTTTAACAATTATTACGTGCCATTAGTATATTTTTTGTTAAAAGATAAGCAAACTATTTCTTACTCCAAAGCATTTAAAGCTATTGACTTAGAATGTTCAAAATTGTGCCAAGATTTTAAGATTGATGTAATTTATGTTGACTTTGAAGTTTCTATTCACAAGGCAATTCAGAAAATTTGGCCAGAAACATTGATAAAAGGATGCCGATTTCACCTAGGACAATCATGGTGGCGAAAGATGCAAGAAACAACGCCGAAACAACATTTTATTTGTTGAAAATCAGATAAAAAAACTAAATGAAAATAAAATAACAAGGTTACATTTTGTAAAAAGCTTATCTAATAAGTATAAACCTAATTTTTGACTGACATTTTGATTATTAACATTATTATTATTAATTATTATTTATTTATTTATTATATTATGGACTATATTGATTTTGTTTAGATCTAAGTGATTTAACGTTTATTTACAATTTTTTGACTGACATTTTGATTATTAACATTATTATTATTAATTATTATTTATTTATTTATTATATTATGGAGTATATTGATTTTGTTTAGATCTAAGTGATTTAACGTTTATTTACAATTTTTTGACTGACATTTTGATTATTAACATTATTGTTATTATTATGATTATTATTTATTTATTATATTATGGACTACCTATATTGATTTTGACTAGATCTAAGTGATTTAATGTTTATTTACTTTTTTACTACATTTGATAAAAAATTTTTTGACTGACATTTTGATTATTAACGTTAATATTATTATTTATTTATTTTTGTTAGTTGTTTAAGAACCCTTGATTAAAATACATGAATTGCGTCCTTGATTTTTTGGGACGCAATTCGTGTATACCTTTTTTACGGGACGCAACTCGTGTGCTCCCGTCCCTACACCTGTGGCTGCCCCATGAGCCGGTTGTTTTTGGACACACGTGTCACCGGTGAGGTGGTCAGCTCCCATTTCGCCGCCATTTCATTTCGCCGCGGTACCGTTTCGCCGAATTTATTTTTTCGCAGTTCCATTTCGCCGAATTTATTTTTTAAGTAACTCTTTAACTCTCAACTTAAGGTTACTCAACAATTATTCATTGTTTTATTTGTAGTTAATAAGTAACAATAATATTTTCAAATGAATCATTAATTCATCAATTTATAATACTCATAATAATATTATCCCAAATCTGCAAAATAATTTGATTTATACTATTTTTTTTTTAAATATTCCTATTGTAATGACGTGAAGTGTGAACTATGAGATTTTGATGCGTGGTAGATAACACCAGTGATTTTAACGCATTGATATTTGCATAAATGCATAATAATCATGTCTGTCAGAACTAGTAAAAACTCTTTTCTTCCACACCTCAACTAAATATATATTAATATAATATATTATACTCGACTATAGTTTAGTATTACCTATTAATTGTTATACCTTTACGTTTTATAATATACGTATTGAAATTTTTTGTTTAATCCTGCATAAATTATTGTATTTAAAAAAGTTAAATATATCTTCAATAATTATATATAAAAAAAAATTGTTTTCTAAATATTCTGATTTTTTTATTTGCTTAACTATTATACAAGGTGTAACAGAAATACATGACAAAACAAAAATAAAACTATGCTTTACTATGATTACTCAACAATTATTCATTGTGTTTAATTAAATAACTAATATTGTCCAAATAAAGTAATATTATTAATAAAATAATAGTTATTAAAAATAAGGCACTACCCTTTTCGCTGTGTAGAAATATATTCAATATTCGACATTATTATTTAAAAATTGTGAACTGTAAATGCGCAAATACGTACTGGTGATAATCAAATGACACTGACTGTGGTAACTTTGCAATTATCGCTGCGACGACACACTATTCATTCTATTTTATTTATATAATTATTGGGGATTTATCAATCGATAACTTCAGAATTGAGATAGTATAGCACTAAGATCATTTCAGACGATAAATATTTCTCTGTGTCTATTTATCACTTTTCAAATCACAAATTCATAACCATGTTCTAAGACAAAAATAATTTTATGCGGCGAAATGGGTCGGCGGCAAAATGGGATTAATTTGGCGGCGAAATGGTACCGCGGCGAAATGAAATGTCGGCGAAATGGGATACGACCGGTGAGGTGAGTGTGTTCTGTGGTGGGGTGGTGTAGGTTGGGGGTCTGTGTACGGGTGTCGACTGGTGATAAGACGGAAAAAATGTTAGTAGTTGGTTGTTCAGTGTATTGAAATACCGAACTAAGTGTTTTTCTTCCGTGTGTACTACCGATAGTGGGGGGTGATGAGCCGATGAGGGGGACTAGTCCTCGTCGACTCCCCCGCCGTTTCCCGACGTTGTCGGTCTGTTTGGACACTGGTCGTTACTCGTTCCAATGGAGTTCCCCACAATATCTGCACGGCCCCGGTGGTTTATTATCTGTTTTTTTTTATAAATTTTTTTTTTGACTGGGGGGGCTGTCTGTGGGGTATCCGTCAGTTTTTTGGTTTGGGTTTCCATTGTTGGGGTGGGGGGGTTATGTTGCCCATTACCGGGTCCAAAACGCCTGCGATGCGTCTCAGCTCGCTGAACGTTAATGGTCGGTGTAGGCGTATGTGCGTACGGAACGTGTCGCGCGTTAAGGTCCCCACACACTGCAGCGGTGGCGGTGGCGGTGGCGTTAAATTCTATTGTCTTGGCTTCACCGCCGCGGTGAGCGGTGAAATGTGTCCTACAGCAATTCACCGCCACCGCTGCAGTGTGTGGGGACCTTTAGTAGTTTAGTCCGGCGATAATACCTACCAATTCCGGATCGGATAGGCCGGTATTTACGCGGCGCGCTAGCTGGTTTTTAATCAGCACAAATTCCGTTAGCGATTGTGTAGGCGTTTGTCGTGTTGACACGATGTCGGCGCGCAATTGAGATTGAATTTCGGAATTGTTGAAATTTTCTAAAAATTCTACCCTAAACTCCTCCCAGGATAGATCGAGTGCCTTGATAGACGTTTACCATGTACTCGCCGTTCCTTTTAGTTGTGGCTCGACTGCCCTACACCTCCCCGTGGGGTGTATACGTGCCTGCACTTATATCGATTCAGTATTATGTGTGTTGTTTCAAAAGCAGATGAAAAATATTAAAAATCCTTAGTCACTTTTTTTTTTATAAGCATTTAAAGTTCAAAAATTGACAAAATATGGAAAAATCTCGAAAATTAACAAATTATTTTGAGTTAAGGATTCGTAAAAATTATTATTTTTAAATCTAAGATTTGAAAATGTAATACAAGAGTCCTTATAAGTTATAAGATTATCTACCTTAATCAAAAAAAAAATGTCTATAAGAAAGTCAAATTAAATTTTTATGAGCGTTTGAAATTCAAATTTTTACAACATTGGATATTCACTCGATTTCTCATGTAGCGATTTCCTTATTTTGTTGTAATTCAAAAACGAATAACTGTAAATACATGAAAATTTCCCTGAATGTTTAAATTAGCATTTTCTGAAAATATTTTGACTCTTTTTGAGCTGTTTACGGACATTTTCAGTTTTCAATTTTGTTAGTTTTGGTAAATGATAAAAAGTTTGTAGAAAAAAAGTCCAAGGAATAAAATCCTAGGAAGAAATAGTTTAAAAAAAATAATTTATGAGAAAGGTATATTGTATACATATGTTACATAATTATTAATTAAGCACTAACCATTATCATAATTAATAAAGTGTATTTTAAAATTTAGTAATACATTTTTAAATAAACAGTTAAAAGTAAAACAGTGAAAGACACAGACAAACCTCAAACAACATAATATTATTATTATTTACAATATTATTTTGTTGAATACTCGTATATGAATGATAACAAAGACTGCCAACTGGAAAGACACCCGCTCATGCGCCGGCCGAATTAGCAGAATTCGCTCAATCAACGGGATAACGGATTACGCACACTAATGTTCATTTACTACTCACACATAGACAAAGTATTAATTTATATGTCACATGAATTGCCTAAATAGTACTCCTTAAAATATGCTACGGTGCAGCCCCCTTAACTAAGTTACTTTATTCTGTATGTTAAATTTGAATTCAATGATAATTCGTAAAACGATTTTGGTAAGAGATGGCCTATCAAGTGTCAACTTATATTACAATTACTACCTAAACACCAAGTTGGTATCTACAGTAATGGCATTTCTTACAATGTCCGGTTAAAGTTGCCGGTAATAAAATCTGTCATCAGTTGGTTAGCGTTAACCAACACTTTACCGGACATTGTAAGAACAACCTTAAGCATATTTACTATTTATATTGCTATTATAGCATCTAAGTAATATTTCTAGTATTTAGTTTACGGTTGGTTGAATAATTTTTTGCTGAAAACATTGGATTTATTATAATATTTAATTATTATAATACTACCTAGTACCTATAATATATGTATATTATACATAATAATGGTATTAACTTTTGAGTCAATATCGACTTCCGTAGAACATGTGCATAAGTAAGATGGGCGGGTGATTTTAACAATTAGGCCAATTGATACAAATCTATGACATTCTGAAATTATTATGTATCACAGAATTCGATTAGTCAGCCTTACAAGTGAACAAGAAAACTTTGATGTGTTGAAACAATTGAGGGACTATGGTAAGAACCACAATTAAAGATATAATATCTTCAATCGCAGTAAGAACAAACTCAAGAGAAATTCATAATGATGTAGGTACCCAGAGAACAGATGACATTTTATATATTATTTTTAATCTATTCCATGATATATACCCACATGGCTTTTAATTGCTTATGTTGCGGTGTTGACTATCATTTTTGGATTTCTGGTAATGATCTATCAAAGGAGGGTTTTTTTGTTTGGTTTGGCATGAGCCAAAAATGATGATACACCAACTGTCTGAAAGGCGAACCACTCAATATCAAGGTCCAAAGTCAGTGGCAAATATGAAGACTACATAGAGTATTGGAGTAAAGGAGACAAAGGTTTAAAATAGAATGATGAGTTCTGCACTTTCAAAGCCTTTTTCATATGCGAATAGGAAAAGATAAAAAAAATAAAAAAAAATATTGATACATGATTTTTTTAATGTAATTTGAAAATACATATTTAACACAAAAACTGTATGCACTAATAATAATTATTAAATTAAATATAAAAAAAAAACAATTTTAAAACATGAATATTATTAGTTTGTCAAATCAATACAAAACATAGTAACATACTACAATGTACTCCAAAAATATTTTAAGAATATTACATAATTATAATTTGTTGAAAATTATTGTTTAATCGGTTTTTATAACATGGCGAATAATACTGATATAAAAATTTACAACGGGTGCAAATTTATAGTGAGTGTAGTTTTACCAAAAAAAAAATAGTTACATACACCCTTACACCAAATATATTTTGTTTAAAATCCATTCAAACATAACATATTAATTACAGTAAAATACACACACAATTTTCAAACAGATTTAATTTTGTTCAACACTATATAATAGAGATAAAGAAATCAGAAAATGTCACCAAACAGCAGATAATACATATACATTTATTACAACGCAAATAAGCATATTCGTATTATCTTTACAGTTTAGTGAACATTGAAAGCACAAAATCATTTTTAACAGTACAGTCTATTGCATACCCTTTAACTCATATGTATAAAAAAAATAAATCCGTTCAAAAAATGCATGTTATTATATTACTGACTACCCTGTTATTACACAATTAACTGTGGACGGAATAATTAAACCCTAAAAATTACATCTAAATACAATGTATAGTTTTACGGTTTATATCACAAAAAGTAACACGATTATCACTAGAGAGTAAGCTCATAATACAATGTAAAAATAAGATTATGGGCAAGTTTACTTTTCATAAAAAAGACCAACTATTAATGAACATGATCAAAATACAATGTCAGTTAAGATATATTTTAATATTTTATGAAATTCATAGTTTGGGTTGCTTTTTACTTTGTTTCTTATAATAAATAGGAATGAAATTAACCAATAAATATAATATTGATTATAATATTAATCATTTTTAAAGAGAGCTGGAAATGTTAAAAAATTATTACACAAATTGATATTTATGAAAGCAACTACCTACTATGATTAATATAATTATTATAATATAAAAAATAAAGCTTGAAAGTTGCTTATTATAGTTGAAATACATATTGTATATAAATACATTTTTTACTTATAAAGTTACCAATTCATTTTAAATACATCTAATATAAAAAAATTATATTTAGTAGTGCTAAATAAAAGTATAAAAATCACAAAACCATTATGTAAATATTTTGTTCAAACATTTGAAGTTTAAAAAAATGACAAAACTACCTACATATAATATATATATATTATGTTTTAAATTGTACTTTAAAACATTTAAGATAAATACATTAAAAAAAAAAAATGGCTAAATTAAAAGTGCAACATTATTATATAACAGACTTATTTTTTAAGTACTATACAAAACTATTAAAATATCTTTTGTTAAATTGGGAATATTTCAGTTATGGTTTTGTTCCAAGTTGAATAATTTTAAATAAACTCATTAATTGTAATTCAACTATTATAAACTATCAACAATAATCGTTTCTAATAATTGTTATTAAAGAAGTACAAATAAAAAAAAGAATATCATTGTGTTAAGTTGGATGATAATCAACTAAATTTTTTAAACTTATGTAAACAAAGAATACTGGAAAAATTGCAATTTAAATAAAAATCATAAATGTATGATAAATTAGATGAAGTGTATAAAATGGCCGCTAAACAAAAATAAAGAGATCATTAATATAGTTTAAATAAAATTCTTTAACTGTTAAAATGTATAAAATCGTATAACCAATTACATAATTGTTCTTAAAATAGTTTAAAAAATAAAAATTATAATTAGATAAGTCGTTCTTCCGGTGGGGGTTTCAGTACATTGTCTAATTCAACTCTAGGATTGCAATATTCTTGACAACTAGGGCTATAAGTACCCCGTGTAGCTCTTTTCTTTCGTGCCATCATTAATAGTACAAGTAAACTACCCATACCACCAATAAGTAGAATAAGTAATATTGGGCCGACTATTAATGCTATATCTGCATAGTTGTGAATGATGGGCAGCTATAATAATAAAATGTTTAAGATAAATAACATGAATTAAAAAAAATATTTTTTACATATCGTTAAAATATTATTAGGAAACGTAATATTTTATTTCGGGGATATATTATAATACGATTTATTTTAATAATTGGCATTTTGTTATTTGACTAATGATTCTATAATGGGCCACAGGGTTAGAACATATTGTATACGAGTCTGCAATGAAGTACCACATTTTATGTCTTTGCAGTAACACCACATTGAAAAATCAAAAAAATTACCATGGTTACCAAAGTTATTGATGTAACGTAACGTTTTTCTATTTCTAATACACTGATTTCACGGCAACCAATAATTATTATTATAATAGTTTTAAAACCCATGGCAACCATTTATAAACAAATAAATAACGTAACATTTTTTTGTAGCGTAACATAACGTTTTTCGACTCTATGTGCCAAAGCAAAGACATAAAATGTCAAAATAATGAAAATAGTATGTTTTAATAAATATGCAATAAGTATTTCTTCAAAAATTATTGTCAAGAGGCACCAGACACTAAATGTTGAGGCTTTCCTTGCATATATAACCAACATTGAGTACAAACATATTAAAATTTGAAGTAATTTGGTGTTCTTATTTAAAAAATAATTCCAAGTTGAGTAATTTATTTTGAATTTTTAAATTAACCTTTGAGCTTCAGCAATTAAGACTATTAGCTTATTGTGGGGGGTAACAGTTTGTTGTAAAACATGCTTTTATTTAACTGAGACAAGGATTTGTCACCAGGAACCCGGGTGGTCATCCATCTAGAAGCTAGCGATGCCAGACCGCAATACACATTAATGACTGTGGCCAACCAACGTACTACACCAGACTCCTCCCTTATACAGTATTATTTGGATTTTTAAAAGACAAAACAAACATCAGGTCATTTGGTTTATGATTCTTACAGCAGAATGTGTAATGTTTAACAACGATAACTAAAAATAAGTTAAATAAAATAAATTGAACCTCATTGTAAATAAGAAATTTTTGAGTGTTGGGCAACATGTTTTGAAGTTAAAACTTTAGAGTTTACTGATTTTAAAATTCTCCTTTTTATAAGCAATAAAATTATTATTTAATAATGTATAATATTAATAAAATAATTTCATCGTTTACCTCCGTGCAGTTTTGTCCAACATAACCATTAGCACACTGACATTCATAGACTATTACATCAGTACAATGCTCTTGGCAAAAACCTCCATTATTACAAGGGTTTTCCTGATAAATAGTATAAAAAATTAATAATAGCATATTTAAATACAAAATATTAAAAGTACTTACTGGTAAACAAGGATTAATCAAATCACAATAATTCCCACAAAAGCCTTTTTCACAAGCACAGATGAAAGACCCTGGTGTATTCTTACATTCCCCACGATGACCACATTGTATATTGAGATCAAAACATTCATCAATATCAATACTGCAGTCATCACCCGTGTATCCTAAAAAAAAATTAAAAAAAAAATTAAAGAATACAATTTAATAATGATTTTTAAATGAATTTACCCGTGTCTGTACAATTACAAGTGAATTCATTAATACCATCAATACATTGACCACCGTGCTGACATTTTGGTTGATTGCCATTATCGAAACAATCATCAATATTTTGCTCACAAAGATGGCCTTTAAAGCCCACTGGACATTCACAGAAAGGAGATTCCTGTTAATTTAATTTGTATTATTTATTCATCCTGGTATAATATAAAATAATTATCTGATGAAGGCAAACATTAATACCTCTTTTTTACATAAACCATTATTCTGACACTCATTAGTATCACAGAAAGCTGTGTCACAAGTTGTGCCCGAAAATCCCTCCAAACATGAACAGGTATAATTATTACCAAATTGATCTATAACATGACAATATTATACAAATTAAAGTTCATCATTAAAACATATTTTAATTATTTTGTAAAATACCTGGAATCATAAAGCAGTTGGCTCCATTTTTACATGGTAAATTATCGCAAGTAATAAGCTTTAACTGTTCACATGTTTTTCCTTCATAGTCATCTGTACAATTACATTCAAAATCACCTAACTGATCAATACAAATACCATTGTGGTGGCATGGGTTGGATTCACACTCATTGATATCAATTTCACAGCTAAAAAAATATAATAGATAATATGAAGATATAGTATAATATCTTATAATTGGAAGGAGACAAAACTCTATTTAGTGAAAATATCCCAAACATTTTTGTAAAACTAAATGACACAGACTATGCTGCAGTCACATGTTGTTACTTTTAAATTTAACTAGTATAGTATAGAAATCATTTTTCAGAAATGTAATATTCATGTAATATTCAAAAAATCAGAATTAAATAAATTCATTATTATAGGGAACAGAGGGAAGGGGTGGGCTTACTTGGTGAATCACCTTGTATATATATATTATGATGTCAGATCACTATATCTAGTATATCAGAATAATTTTATAATAATTAACTATAATAATGGTAAATGTATAATTAATAGAAATATTTATATCATTTTTTCCTGAACTCAAAACAGTGTGTATTAATACACATACATAATAAAACATAGAGAAGTGTACATGAATGCGTAATTTTACAAGCTATTAAACACACCCGAAGGCTTTGTTACTCTTATTGAAGTATTCATGGTTAGTAGTTAATAGACAAACTTTAAAATATAGTTATTAAAAATTGACTTACAATGTGCCTATCCAACCAGCTTTACATTGACATGTATAATTGGCAATTCCATCAATGCATTCTGCAGAATTTTTGCATTGATTAGACAAACACTCATTGATATTTGCAGAGCAGTCATCAGCTTCATAACCAGGTGGACAATCACAAACATAGGATTCTGTAGCTTTTTTACATCTAACAAAAAAAAAAATATCAAACATCAAATAAAAAGAATATATTGTTTTTAAATTTTTACCTTCCACCATTTTTACATTCGTAATCATAGCAAAGTAAACAATCTAAATCAAAATGTTCAGTGGTTGAATTATGTGATAGCATCACAAAATGATCGGTTTGATTGTTGGTATTGAGTTCAGTTGGTGTAAAATAAGGTAACAGCAAACCACCAATTCTTATTTCCCCAAGACAACCCTATTAATTCACAACATAATAAATCAACATATTTAATATATTTTACATTATATATATTTAAATGAAATACCTTGTAAAAGCCTCCTACAGAAGGTACATCATGTTGCATTGTATCTTCAAAATTCAATCTTGTGTTAGAATCAACCATATCTAATGAATTTGTATCTGCATCAGTCATATATGTTACATGTTCAACACTATTTCCTAGTATATCATGATAGCGTTCACCACTTCCTGAGAAAACAAATTTATAATTTACATAAAAATATTAAACATACAAACATACAAGTTATGAATGATCAAGGCAGAAAAGAAAAAGAAAATGTATTATTTATTTATTTATTTTATTTCAGCGTAATTCAATTATTATAATACAATAATAACCATAATAATATTAAGAGCTGATACACATATACCAAATGAGCTAAGCTCGTATCTGGTATACGGAATGAATTTAAATTGTTTAGAAGCAACTGATAATGAGAATCATTCTATACCAATTGGTACTTTGACTCAGGGCCAGATTTAATTGGGGGGGGGAGGGGGGCTCATTGAGGGCTTAAGCCCAGATCCCCAAATTTTTAGGAGCCTCTTAGGTCAAAAATATAAAATTTATAACATGGGTTCCTGTTATAAAAATATAGATTTAAAAAGTAAAAATATTATTTTAGGAAATTTAAATAGTCTACATTATTATAACTATATTATTGCCGTGGCGTAAAGTGAATACACATTTTCAACTCAAATATTATATATATAAAAAAATAGACCGAGAAATACAATGCATATAGATTATAGATTGTTTAAATTAGTTATCAGTTATGACTTTATTATCATTGAAAGTGATGTACTGGATAATGTAATTTGATATTATAATTTATAGATGACTTAGCCAAGTAAAAAAATCCAATTCGTATATTTTGATACAATTTATTTATAATTGTAATCAAACACTTTTTAGAATAGGTCACACGAGGAGACGACGAGAGTATTATTGATGTACACTACATAACATACATCTATTGTTGAATTTTACAATTTCTAATAGCCAATGGTCACACATTCAATGTCCTTTACAATTACTGTCCATTTGACGTTGGCCACATCCGATAGAATATAGATGCTATGACAGATATTACATTTAATGTCTGAGGAAGTGTGACGCTTGTATGATCCCAGCCTTAGCCTTAGATTATTTTATATAAATATACGTATAACCATATTTGTGTAATACATAACTGTATGAACTGATAAAATGATGTAACATAAATATTTATTTATAATTATAACAAAAAATATATTTTACATACTACAGTATGTAATTTTTATTATACACAACCTAGTGGCCAAAAAATTTTCATTGGCCTGGGCTCCTTAACACGTTCAACTCCGCCCGTGATTTCAGAAACGACGGAAATAACAAAAACTAAAACCATCCAAACCTTTAAATTTAGAGTTTATTGTCAATGGCAAATTTTAAGTTTCAGAGTTTATTAAAACAAAATCCGATTTAATTATAGCGTATATTTACATATACGTTTTTGATGTATTGACTGGCCTGTTGGTATACGCGTCAGCGGAGTTGAATGTGTTAAAGAATAAATCCTTTGACTATTATTATTAGTTATTAGATTATTAAGAAACTGAATTATATGAAACCATACATTTTGTAACAATTTATTTTTTTACATTTTGGTTGTCTAACATATTATATTAAAATATTTCATTGGATTAGTCTCAATCTCAAAACATAGTACTCTAAGTACTCTAATAAGTAGTAATAATAAACATATTTTACCTATAAGAATAGGATTTGATGTAACTAATTCAATCCAGTTGGATAACGAAAAATTTCCAGCTATAAGAAATTGATTAGTATCATCTATTGCACCAACTAAACCACCTTGAATTTTATTATCAGCTAATTTGAACACAATAGTTGTCCACTCGGAATCTAAATGATCTTTGTGCACTTGTTTCGTACTAATGGAACTTTCTTTTTCCAATTTCCATGCGATAATAAACTATAACATGATAAAATATTTTAAGATATTATTTGAAGAAACAATTAATAATATTATTAATCATATGCATTTGTATGTATTATTAAATTGTTATACCCGATCTTTATAAGCTATCATTGTGAAGAATGTGTATTCAGAGTCATTGCTATTTTTCTTGTTGGAAACATACATAATTGTTCCACCAGTTCTAGTTCGATAATTGACTTCAATATGAGTTAGTGGAATAACCTGTTGTCCTTTAATAAAATTGTACTGTAAAAGTGGCTCAGTAGTATTTCGACTATCTAACGTAATTTTGGCAACACATTCATATCCATGATTTAAATTTCGACATTCACTGCCCAAAGGACAATCTTGAAGTTGACAAAATTCCATTTCTTGGCACTGTTTTCCTTTGTAACCCAATGGACATTTACATGTAAAATCATTCCAGGTTACTGAACATACTCCATCGTTATGGCAAGGATTTGAACGACATGTATCATCAGACAAGACACCTTGTGAAATTTCATCTTGATTATATGATACAGTACCAAATGCTTTAGGTACAACTAAATCTTTATTTTGAATTCCCAATGGATAAAACTCAACAACCATGGTTTGAGATCCATTGCTGATCTAGAATGTAAATTATAAATTAAAATCATATTTATAAACTAAGGCATACCTAAAAGTTCTCCTACTTTATTTTTGGATTTTCAAAAATTTAAGTAATATCTAATAATGTGTACTTGATGGGACTAAGACTGCCCTATTTAAGTTATTGGTGGACATATTCGGATTTCGAAAATCCAAATTATTTGGATTAGTCCAATCCAGATTTCACGGATTATCCTAACAATCAGGATTTTTGAAATCCAAATATACTGATTAATGACTCATTTTCATATTCTAATACATTTAATTCTATAACATATTTTCATTACAATAAAAAACCATACATTAAAAATAAATATAAGTCACATATAAAGCAAATCCATAAATCCAGATAATTTGAGAAATGCGGATAAGAATTTGATTCAAATCCGGATTACATATACTGATATTCGAATAATTCAGATATTCGGATTTCATGCCCATCCCTAATTTAAATAGAATAAAAATTATTCCATAATTAAATTACTTTATAGTTGATATAAATTATATAGAAATATGTTTGGATTTGTTACATATTAAATATTTATTTGAACATAAGAAATGAACTAGGCAGCAACCAATTTATTCGGGCTAGAGTTAGGTAACACCCCCACCAAGTCGACCTGTATTGTATTAATACAACTGTCCAATGGGGTCAATTTATAGTACGGATAATATAAAATTAAGATAACATCACACTTGCATTGTCTCCATCTTACAAACAACCAACATAGCAAACTTGTGTTTAGCAAGATGAATTTTGTGTAGCTATCTATATAAGAGTGAATTGACTTACTATCAAACTAAGTAAGAAAATATGAGTTAGAATATCTACATTTTTTAATTAAAATATTATAAAAACCCGATGTACAAACACAGATAAAATTTTTACCTTCAAGATTGATAATAGGTCAAGTCACTCTAATATTAAAGTTAACATAACATTTATACTGAATTCAAAATTGCTATGTTATAAGTTTGTAAGGAGGAGACAATTATTCTGGCGATTCAAAGATTTATTTATGGTCAAACAATGACAAAGTTAAAATAAATATTAATGACATTAAAAGTATTCATTAATTATTGACATTGATATCATGGTAAACAATAGAAACCTAAACGCAAAAAAAAAATGACAATTACATGTTTTCATTATCTGAAAACCCAGTACCAGTAATTATTTCATCAATAAAAATATTGAATAAAGTTAAGAGTAATGAACATTTTGTAAAATAGAAGATAAATTTTAGAGGTAAAGCATCCATTTACCAATTAAATATTATTAGGGTCATCCCTAAATGTTGACTTTAGGCAATGTTAATAAGTAATAATAATTTATTATAAATACCTGTACATCTTGAATTATTCCTTTAAAATGAGGTATTCCTTCAAATTTATCAGCTGTTGTTTGACGAATATGTCTTTCTATAGTATTAGGACGAGGTAAAATGTTATCCATAACAATTAATGGGTCTGATAAATCACGTCTTGATGGTTTAGAAGATGGAAAACCCCCTAAGTATAAAACCTGGACATCAAGTTGACCAGTGGCACTAATAGTTTTTCTAAAATATTCTGTTCCATTGATTTTTACTTGAACCAACGTTATATTACGAACAACCTAAAAATATATATTATATTCAAATAATTTTTTGAATTTACTTAGTGAGAATACAAAGTAAAATAAATAAGTCAAACTTTTAAAAATAGTCTAAGACTTACAAACCCTAGGTTTACCTGTATTAAATGATTATGTCCGTCATCTAGTTTTACGCCTCCAACAGTATATGATTCAGGAGTTGCATTGAATTGTATTCTGACTAGTAGTTCACCACCTTCAAGTTCAGCTGCAATATGAGTTTCTTCAGAAAATGTGACCATTCCTGGCATAGATCCTAAATAAAATATAGCTCCTCTGGTTTGACGGGTTCGAATGAACATTGAAATATCCACAATATTTCTAACAGCTCTTTTGGCCACAGCAAATACATTTACTGTGACTAGACCAGTTGTGATATTTTCATGACCAAATGTTGCAGCTGGGAAACCTATTTAACAAGATAAAATAAACTTATAAATTGTAACTAAACTATGTCCAGCGAGAGAACACTCTGAGATTCTATGCATCCCCACATAAAACCCTGCCATTGAGACCTATTCTACCATGGAAGGGTAGACGTGTGGGGATGAGCAGGAGAGAATTGATTTTGTTTAGCTACGGTATGATCTCTGCTGGACAGAGTAAAAGTATTTTAATTTAGATTCTAGTAAGTACAGAAAAAAATAATTAAATCTTACTGTATTGACAAGTATTTCCAAGATACGGTCTTTCACACGTACAACTGAATGTTTTCCACAAATCAGTACAATGACCACTATTGTGACATGGATTGGGAAAACATTGATCATTCCTTTGGCAACCTATATCAACATTAGTTAAACCTATTGTTGAACCTACTTTATCATCTGGTAAAACCTAAAAAATATTTAAACAATACTCTAGTATTTTAAATTTTAATTCAAAATATTACTTTATTTTCTTACCCATTGTCCATTTATAAGAAGATTCTCAATACACCAGTAAGTAAGGGGGCCCGTGGGGTAAAAGCCTCAAATTTGAAATAGTTCCACCAACATATGTAGTAGGAAAACTAGTATGTGTAGGGTTAGCTCCTTCATTCAAGTTAATAGGGTAAATAGTTTGTTCCTCGTTGGCAGACAATACTAAATGTGATGAATTAATAGCAACAAAAACCTTAATGGTAAATAAAATAGATTAAAATATTTATATATCTATTAAAAAATATTTTGAATGAGGTAGTTTACTTTTTGCCATTGGCTGTTGTTAAGTTCAGAACCAATAAATACTCCTTCCCACTTATTTAACAAACTTGAATGCAAATTCAAACGGCCCTTAACCAATTCTAATATGTAAAATGTTGATCCACCACCAATTGCTAATAGACCACTTGGTAATGTTGTTTTAAATCTAAATGATATGTCATAGCCTTCATCTCTAGTGGTGTTGACCACAATACGAGACTCACCAGTTAGGGACATAGTAGTAGTCTAAAACAAAATTATGAAAATAAGAAATTAGTTACTTTTTTAATTTTCTATTTAACTAACCTTATCACATAAATGACCATGAAATCCATATGGACAAGAACAATTATAGCGATGTTCAATTTCATCAATCAAATATGGTTTACAAGTACCATTGTTTAAACAATGATGATCCTGACATCCAAATAATTCTACAGAACAATTTTTACCACCATATTTTGGAGCACAGTCACAATAGTAACCAGCACGTCGATCCATGCAAGTTCCGTGATCACAAGGTCTACAAAATAATTGTTAAAAGTTAGTTCAAATTATTTTTTACTGATAAAATAATAATCATACTTGAATCTTTCACATTCATTTATTTCTGTTTCACAAAATCTGCCTTCATAACCATCTTCACATGCACAAATAAAACCATTGATTTTATTTTCACAAGCACCGTAATTGCATGGGTTGCTATCACATTCATTAATATCAATTTCACATTTGATACCTGTTGTACCAGGTAAACATAGACATTCAAATCTGAAATATGTTTATTTGAAGTATAAGTATATGTGCCATATTTGATCACTATTTGATTCAAAATAATTTCAGGTAATACTTTGTAAATAATTAAAATATATAAATAACTAAATATGTTATTAGGTACTTATAATTAAGAATGCTTTTGGAATATATATATTGTAATTAATATTTGGAAAATGATTATATCATAATACCAATAGGCATTCAAAATATTATAAATAATAAATATTAATTAACTTCAATATACTATAATGCTATATATTATATAAGGAGAATTTTTTTTAATACAAAACATTTATTATTTAAGTAAATTTTAGTGTTTTTGAGAAGAAAAAAAATTGAAATTGTGGCCCATAATAAATATCCAACTATAAAGATATTATATTGTTTAAATAAATCTGAGATAATATTAATGAATATAGATAGCCAGATAGGTATTTAAAATAAGCTCAACTAAAATATTAAAACGAATAATCAATTCAAAATGTTATAATTCAAAGCATAGAATACAATAAAATGTGTTGGAAACAGAAAAAAACCCATTAAAAATGTCTGAATGAGAAAAAAATCTATTTTCTATAAATGTGTGACACCTAAAAAATTAGTTCATAAATGTTTAATAACTGCTCACAATAAATTAGCTTCTACATATCACAGTACAATTAAGAGATTTAAATATATTTAATTATAAACAAATTATCATTCATGAGTAGTTATTGTAGGATACCCTGTATCTATTATACTCAGTTCAGGTTAAGATTGAACTGCGTCGAGCATGTAGACTGAGCCGCCGAACAGTGCCTGACCCCCCCCCCCCCCCTTTGCGATGGCTATGTGTTCTGTGATTGGCCAACAGTCATCATCGGCGCCGGTGCTGGCCGTCATAAATACACAACCACCTGTGTCCGGAATGTGCGAAAAAAAACGTATTTTGGTCGAGCGAGCGGTTCAATCTTAATCTGAACAGAGTATATACAATACAATCTCTCCTAACGAACACCTAATATAGCAAGTGCTTTTGGGAATCTACTAAAAGCCTTCTACAATCCGAGTTCTCTGAATATCGTCCTCCAAGTAGCAATCAAAAACTCAGCAACCAAGGATTTCCGGTATTTAGATTTTTCTCTGTATAAGTATTTATCTAGTCTATACTTCTCATTTAATAGGACGCTACAACCGCATGTGTTGTCTCCATCTTACAAACACATAACATGGGGAATAGTTCGTTCTGAATAATCCATTTACCTCTGTTAGGCTTAGTTTGGAGTTTATATTGGAACGTATCGACCTATTATCAAATTTAGAAGTAAGACTATTATCTAGTGAACTCAGTTTTTTTTTTATATTTTAATTTTAAAGCAAGTTATGAGTATATTAAGATGTACAAACAATTTTAAATTTTAAAATAATCATACCTTGCTTTGAAATTAAAATATAAAAACCATATGAGATTCACTAGATAATATTCTTTCTTTTAAATTCATAACAGGTTAATTGTTATTTGTTAATTAACATTACATTTAACATAACAAAGTTAAATAGATTATTCAGTAAATACAATTTGCTATGTTACGCGTTTGTAAGCCAGAGACAACATATGCAGGTACAGCGTCCTCTTAACAAATGTAGTATAGGAAAGCTGTAAAATAAAATTTAAAAATAAACAACTATAAATTGGTAAGTGTTAGACAAAAACTATTTATAATTATTTATTTTTTTTATGATTAATTACAAAAATGATTGTTAAAATAACTGCATGAATTCAATTTACCCATGAGCTGTAGCATAACTGAACTCTTGTTGAAATATTGCTGATAAGTTATGGTTATCTTTTTGATTGTATAACGATATATTAGAATGTTCAAAACAAGTGCCTCCAAATTGGCAAGGATTACTTTCACAATCATTTATATCAACTTCACAATTTTTTCCTAATACAAATATTTTGTTAGTACAACAACTAAATTTATCATATATAATAATAATTTACGATTACCTGTATAACCAGTATAACACTTGCAAGAATAGTCTTTTATTCCATCTATACAGGTGCCATTATTCTCACATTGGTCATGTATACAATCATTTATATTCAACTCACAGTGATTTCCTACAATAAAAAAGATGTACACTATTGGTTATTACATAATTATATTAAATTACTTAATAATTGTACATGCCTTCAAATCCAGTATTTGTACAGTTACATTCATAACTGTTAAGTCCGTCAATACATAAGCCCATATTCTGACATGGAGAAGACTATAACCAAACATTGAATAAAACATTTTTTTTTTAAATTAAATATTTAGGTGAGATAAAAAAATATATATACTAACTTCACAGTCATCGATATTTGTTTCACAGAGTTTTCCTACTATACCAGTAGGACAAGAGCAAGTAAAAGATGCAATATTATCAATACAAGTGGCGCCATTTGAACAAGGATTCGAACTACATTCATTAATATCAATACTGCAAACTTTACCTAAAGATAAAAAAAAATTTTATTTTGACTATTTGACTATAAAACATTATTTTATTTTATTTTAATATTTAGCTGAATATTATGTTAGTTAATATCATAAAAATATCATATTTTTTAATTTAATAACAATCATTACATACCAGTATATCCCGGAGGACAAATACAATTAAAACCATTAATTTTATTTTCACATGTGGCACCGTGATAACAAGGTTGTGACAAACATTCGTCAAAGTCTACATCACAGTTATCACCAGAAAACCCTGGACGGCAGAAACATTGATAACTCCCTAATATCATAATTCGGATTAAAATAATATTACATAAATATTAAATTGAAATGAAATATTTCAACAAACCATTAGTGTTAACACAAATTCCATAGTTGCATACTTCTTTGTTGACTTCACATTCGTTTATATCTTGATCACAATGCATACCTAAAAATATATACATATATATATATATATATATATATATAAATTTAAAAAAATATAATTTTAAATATTGAAGTAGTGATTAAGTGTTGTACCTGTAAAACCGGACATGCAACGGCAAGTATAACCATCAAGATCTTCTATACATGTAGAGTTATTTTTACAAAGATTATTTCGACAATCTTTTAATAACTTTGAACAATTTTCTCCTGTATATCCTTCAGGGCATTCACACTCATAAGTATTAATACCATCAATACAAACTTTTCCAACTGGACAAGTTCCAGTTTTACATTCATCGATATTTACTTCACAATTTTTACCTTCAAAACCTAAAATAAAGTATTTAAAATAGTTATTAACTTAAAAGTAAAAGATAATTCTTAAGTATTTTACCTGGAGAACACTTGCAGTAATAGTCTTTAAGTGATGACGTTTTATGTAAACAAGTACCATTATTTAAACAAGGGCTAGGATTTTTAGTACAAGCGTCAAATGGTAATTGACAGTAAGCACCCATATAGTTATCAGTACAGTTACATCGAAAACCATTAATAAGATCATGACATATTCCACCGTTTAAACAAGGTTTGGACATACATTCATCAATATCTATTTGACATGTCTGGCCTATAATAGTTTAATTTCATAATATAAATATAACATAAATATTAAAAGATAGAAGAAATAAAATTATTTATTTAATGTTTGATATTTTAATTAAATTTATACTCTATTCAACACAAGAAGTAATCTCGGTGGAGACCAGTTTTAGTCAGACAGCTCACAAGCGAGCCACCGAGGGATACCTATTTCGTTGATTAGAGTATAGTTAAAATATTATTTAATATTAACACTATTTATTTATTAAAAATGAAATCATTAATATTTAATACAATATTTTTAAACTAACTTATATACTTATTTAATCACGCATACACATATTTATCTTATAATAATAAAGAATGACTTGTATTTAAGCAAATAGATTTACAGTTAACTCTTGATTATCCTCAGATAGATTGGCACAGATAAGCGAATTCTGGGGTTAATATCCAAAATACCAAAATTATATAAAAACAATTTTTTTTTTCAAATTAAATAGTATTCAAATTAAATAAAATAAAATAGATAAGTACACATATTTTTATGTAACATTTACAATTATTTTTTCAAAAATACATATAATATTATTGTACATAAACACTATTATTATACTCCGTCCTACGAGAGAAGGAACTTGATGCACAATGTAACTGACAGCTTTGAACAACCTGAGACACTATTTCCCTCACTCAAACATTCCGAGAGGAAGTGCTGTAAAGCACTACAACTACACACTATGTTTAATTGGAGGAAATCGTGCCCCAGGACATCGAAAGCCGTCAGTAGTTACATTGAAAAATGAGTTCCTTCTCTCGTGGGACGGAGTCTAGTATTGTACATAGTCTTACAGAATACCTCAGATAATCGAGAGCTTACTGTCTTACACAGCATAATATATATTTAAAAATTATCTGCAGTCATTTACCTAAATAATATAATGAACAACATAAAATATAATAATCTTAAATTATGTTTACAGTATTTCCCGAAAGAATATGAGTGCACAGCTATTAGTTTTACCATATCCCCATAACTACAACTTCCACTAAAATACTTGAATGTGTGCAACTCTTACAACATATAAGTTTAATATTTTTTATATTCATATTTGCTCACAAAATGTAGATTAGGAAAATAGTTTAAAAATATTACTATACATAATGAGAATTATTTCCAATATTAAGAGAGCAAGATAAAACAGTATATACGTGTCTTATTTTTATTCAATTGCAACAATATTTGGCATACTTTAAATCAAATACATTGTTATATTACTAACATTTTTATCATGTCAAATTTATATTTTGATTAACAACAATTATTATGAAAAAGGCATATCTACATTTTAAACTTTGGTTTGTAACTTTATACTTAAATATTGTTTAAATTGATTATGACGATATTATTTTATTTTATTATTTGATTCAAAATTTAAATATAAGACCAACATCTATTTCTTACATTTTATGAAATCATAAAACAAGTAGATCATAAAAAATATTTTTATAAAAATGAAAAAAAAAGTATTTTTATTTTTTATACATTTAACTGAATTTTTATTATTACCAGTGAAACCTGGGGGACAATCACAATGGAAAGGATCAGCTTGTCCTGCTAATAGAGTGCAAGTCCCACCATGAGCACAAGTGTTTGGACTGCAAGCAGGATCACGTTGATTACATTGCTGCCCAGACCAACCAGGTTCGCATTCACAATAGTACCCACCAGCCTACAAGTGATAAAATAATGTTGGTGATATCTCAAATGTGAAGTGCTGTGATTTTAAAAAAAGCACACAAATATGTTTAAAAGCAGTTACAGCTATCATAATATTTAAGGTGTTGTTGAATAACATAATCAGTATTAATATGGAAAACATTAGACAGGATTTATTATTTTATTTAACATATTATGTATATTATATTGGATATTCTATTCCACCATATTTAATATAATTTATACCACCATACAAGTAATATGAGTATTATAATATATTTATCTGAAAATATCAGCATTTAAAAAATGTTCGTCAACCATACCTTAACTAAATGATAGCCGTCTCTGCATAAAAAAGAATTAGTTTTTTTACTATCATATAAGTGTACTGTCAACATAAATCAACTCACATAGTCACGACAAGACACAAAATGCTGACAAGGGGTAGCATTACATTTCATAGTCATTTCACAATTTCGACCAGTAAAGCCAGCAGGGCATTTACATTCGTAATTAGATCCTTGGGATATACATGTGCCAGAATTCAGACAAGGCATGATCACACAAACATCATCAGCATGCGAACGAGCCACTATATTACCATGCTCACAAAAAGCGCCTGTAATAATTGTCTCAAAACTATACCCATGCAATATTGTGCAATAATTTACTACTCTTTGTTTTAAAAACTTCTAACATTAAAGAGTGATGGTAAACATTTTCAAAAATCTTTAATTAAAACTAACTAACAATTATATTATTATATAAATATTACATATATTAAAATTATAACTTAATAGTTAATTGTAAAAAAATTCCTGAAATAACTATACCACACAAACAACAAACTTTTATCTTTTTACATAAATAAAATAAATACCTGTATATCCTAATGAACATGAACAATTAAATTGGCCATTTGGCAATAAGCCACATGAACCTCCATTTTGACAAGGATGACTACTACAAACTGTTACTTCTGAACAATTAGGAGGAACACCTAAGTAACCAATTGTACAAGTAAATAAATAAATAAATAAGCATTAATATATTTAAATATTAATTTATTTTCAAATAGTATAATAAATTAATAAATTACTTTGTTAAAATTGAATTTAAAATAAATGAACAAGCTAATGTAGTATGTACTTATTTAAATATTTTTATAAAAAATTGAAGTTTTAAAAAAACTAAAAAAGTTTTTTATTCAACTTATTAGTGAACTAAAATGTAGAAAATAAAGTCTGATGTCCTTCTACCTGGTATAGTGAGTATGATGGTACTTTCATTGTTGAAGTGTGCTCAAATAAAAACATGCTGGGCTTTACTTGCTTTATCATCATAGACCTTTATACTATTAATAAAATGTTTGATTCCCAGTTAATCTTCATTCATATATTTAAGTTGGTATAAAGGCACTTATTCATATTCCGTAGAATGAAGTTCATATGATCTAGTATTCTTATATATTACTATTTGGCTGAATATATTAACATCTTTAATATTGATTTGGCAAGCTTTGCACCAGGTTTTTATTTGAGCACACTTTAACAATGAAAGTACCTTCATACTCACTATATCAGGTAGAAGGAAATCAGAAATTATTTTATACTTTTTAGTTCACTAAATAAGTTAAATAAAAACCTTTTTTAGTTTTTTTTAAAACTACAATTTATTTAACACTTTTTAGTAACAAATTTTAATTCTCAAATTTAAAATGGAAAGCATAAAAGGAGTATTTTTGGTTTGGTTAATCGAAACTAACCATTATATCTAAAACCGATAATAATAAGAAATAAGACTGAATAATTATAAATAATTATTTACCAGTATATCCTGATTTACAATGACATGAGTGAGATGCCACACCATCAACACAAATTGAGTTTGTTGGACATACAGCGGATTCGCAATCGTCCACATTAATTTCACAATTTCTACCTATAAATCCTAGAGCACATCGACATTCATATGTTCCAACTTGATCTCTACACTGGCCACCATTTTGACAAGGATTCGATATACATTCATTCAATTCCTGAATAATACATACAAATAAAAATGTATATACTTATATCACATTTAATGTTTGACAAAATGTTTACTATATCACAATTGATTCCTCCAAATCCCAATTGACACTGGCAAGTATAACTTCCATAGTTATCAAAACATACACCCTGATTGGAACATGGATTTATTTCACACTCATTTATATTTGTTTCGCAATTTATTCCTTTATATCTAAATGTTCATAGATAAATATTGGATTAATTAATTAAAATATTAACTTAATGTATTTTTAATAAAAATTTACCCAGTTTTACTACATGCACATGTATAATTATTCACACCATCAATGCATACACCTCCATGTTGACAAGGACTTGACAAGCATTCATTAATATTTATTTCACAGTCATCTCCTTTAAATCCTACCGTAAAAAAATGTATGGTATATTGTCAAAAAATGTATAACTATTTTTATATATAAAAATTAGTTTACCTGGTGCACAACTGCATTCATAACTTTTTCCTCCTGATGTTAATTTACATGTACCATTATTTCTGCATGGGTTATTATCACAAACATGTGCAGATAATTCAATTTCACAAAATTTACCTTAACATTAATATTAAAAGAAATAGGTAATTATTAAATTATTAACAATTAAGACCATATAAATAATATTAAAATAAAATACAAAAAATATCACCTGTAAATCCTTGATCACAATGACACATAAAATCATTACCATAATTTATTTCTTCACACAAGCCATGCATACAACGATTGTTTTGTTTTGCACATGGGGATCCTGAAATACAATGATTATTAATTTATTATTCATAGAATACAGTACTAATAATACAATTTTAGATTTACCATTATCAATTTCACAATTATTTCCAGAATACCTAGGTTGACAGATACAATGGTATTTATTTTGTCTTGGAACACATACTCCATGCATCATACAAGGGGCATGTGAACAGTAATCAATACCCGTACCTGCACATTTATAGTTAATAATATTAAAAACACATTAGGTACATAAATTATTAAAATGAAAGGTACATACATGACTGACTGTTTAAGGGACAATGTCCCCAAACAACTTTATAAGCTTGATTTAAAGATGAATTAAAAATAAAATTTGGGCCTTCTAATAAACACCCTTCAAAACCATCTCCTACTCTTAACATGGATTGATCAGTAATAATCTCAGAATTTAAGATTTCTGAATTAAATGTAGAATTTGCTATAACCTAAAACAAAGAATTATAACGTGTGTATTTTAAATACTGTTAGATTACTGTAATTTTAAATGCACATAAATTAACTGTTATTTACTTGTTGTAAGCTATCAACAGACATTGTTAATTCTCCAAGCTTATATATAAAATTAACATTATGCCAAGAATTATCAAAAAAATCTCCTTGGATTTTTGATTCGAAATGTTTGTTTTGGAGAAATGTAGTAAACAACAAGCCATCATGAAGAACATCTACTGAGATTTGAGTATATGGTAAGTCTTGAGTTTGAGAAAATATTTGTCCTCCAGAACATGTTCTAAAGCTGAATCCTATATGTGTATACAATGAAATGGGAGGAAATAAATTTAACCATGATGAACTATTGAAATATCCTTCTCTATCTGCGCCTCCAGACCTCTGAGTGTTTGTACATATTAAATGCACAAATAAATTTACTGAAAATAAAATATTTAATTTATTAGTTCCATACAGAATAAAAATTCATTTTTTTAAATTATACATACATACTTAAAAAGTAAAAACTCATATAAATTATAATAGGTTCCTTGCAGAATTGTTTATTTATCTACTACAGAACTGGGTACATATTGATAATTCATATTTCAAAAGAATCAAAATAAAATGAACAATTTACTTATTTTCAACTTAAACATTATTAGAATAGAATCTTACTATTCACGAACTCTTTTATGATTATTGTACTATATTGCCTGTTTTAATATTTTACTCATTAGAAATTTTCTTTTAGTTAATCTATTCAAGTACCCAGTCATGATAAACTTGTCACCTGTCAATCTATTGTAATAATGTATTATACTATACAAAAAAATAACAAGGAACAAGCCCCTGGCTATAAATTCCACCTGATATAACAACAACAAAGAATGTTATTAATTTGATTTACAATAAAATGAATAAACATCCTCTATTGAACTGACCAAATTTGTATATGAACAACATCATGTTATAATGTAAATTAATATTGTACTAAATATTAAACTTGGAAACAAAATTTGTACCAGATGAAATTTAGCTACATTTACAGAGTTAACTTTTGATAATATTTAAGATGAATTCATCCACAATAAAAAATGAAAAGTGTACCTAAATATGAAATCATCAAAAGTTAATTCACAATTTTTTTTATAATAATTTAAAATTCAAATTTGGATATAATTTAAAAATTATTTTTTGTTAAAAATTTATAAAATGTTCAACTTTTACAACTAAGAGTTGAAAATTTAAAACAATATTTCACCTAAGTAGTTAATATTGTAACCAAAAAATGTAAAAAATATATAAACAGATTTTTTTATATAGTTTTATTATTAGGTTTAAGACTGAGGTCATTAACCTGTATGTTGGGAGAGTTGGTACAGTAGGGGTTGGGATGGTTGGTACGGGCGGTTAGAAACATGAGTATGTATGGCAAAGTTACCCATCCAAGATCTAGTGGTAGCGCCCGTTGCTTACTCTCAATCATGTCTCGTGATTGATTTCAGCCACTGTGCCATGCTGCTCTCACTATTGTTGTTTAATGTTCAAATTTAGAGAAAATTAGATATTTGAGAAGAAGAACGATTTTAGATAAGTGTTATATTTTTAAAATATTATTAAATATTATATACTTGAAACTTCTAAAGTATATTATTGTATACAAATATGATAATAAACAAATAATAATAATTAAACTTAACCAGGGGCGATCCTAGAGTTTATTTTTAGGGGGGTTTGGAGTGAATATTGCCGACTTTCAATGATAAAGCTGCCGACTGTATACGTCTTAATGTTATAATAATTACTTTTTCCTATTGTAATAAATTATAGAGATCAAATAGTTATGAAATTGCATATTTTTTTTTCTATTTATTCATTTTAATGCTGACCTAGAAAAAAATTTGATTCATATTATACTGAATCAAAAAATACTATTTTTATTTATCATATTTTATGGGTTTTATTTGAAACGCATATAATAATATTTTAAGAACATAAATGCATACTTTCAACATAAATGCATACTTTCTTCATAAATGTACAGCAAATTTATAAAAATATTATTAAAATAGGTTAAGTACCCTAAACTCCTAAATTTGACTTTTATGTATCGAAATACTGTATCTAAATATTCTGCTTTCAAAGATGAAATCAAAACTTATATTTTTGAGATTTTTTGGTTACAGAATACTTACCTGCAACCTTGTTTTAAATTTTCAATCCTTATATAGCTATAAAAGTTAAATATGAATTCATACAGTTTAACTACAAAATCGTTTTTAAATCTGTCTGTGAACCAATATATTAGGATCTTTGTATTAAATCAAGCTTTTTCACCCAAAAAATAGCATTTTATTGACATTCATAGAAAAAAAAACTAAAAAAAACTGAAACTGAAAATATCCGTAAACAGTTCAAAACAAACCAACATTTTTTGAAAATGTTATCGTGTAAAAATGCTGAAAACAACTAAGGAAAAAGTCATGTATCTACGTTAATTTGTTTTAGAATTACACCAAAAACCAATATCGGTTTTGTAGAAAAACAATTTTGTGTAAACATTCTCGGTTTTCCTTAATTTTTTTTGTTGGTTTTTCCCGGCGCTTTTAAAAACTATTTGGAATTTTTTACTTTTGACCTCCCCCCCCTCCAAGTACCTACCAACTAGATTCACTTTTTTATCAGTAAAGATTGGACTGTTGAAGAAAATCTAAGCATTTTTAGTGTCCTAAA